TTTGAAAATCCGTCCAGGATTTCAAAAGTTATGGCCCTTTCAAAAATAAAAACATGCAAATTTGGCGAATTTGGCGCCATGCCATGGCGCCAAATATTGGTTTTACCCAGAAACATGAATGAATCCTTCATCTGGGGCCCTAGTAGATTCTAAAAAACATAGTGGGTACCCTGGACTCAAACGACAGGTCGTGAGTGTCCCTTGTAAGACTAACAAGGGAACATACCGAGGTGTCCTACGAATTAAGGGTCGACACCTATTCCAAAATGACCACAACACATGACTTATTAAACAAACTGAAGGAATTTCTGTGTAAAATTCACTTTTCGTCACGTTGTGACGATATTTGTGACGAGCGCATGACCAACGGGTTGCCAGCGGGAGAGGTCGGCCGATGAACGATCAGACTCGAACACATTTTGTCTTCAGAGATTTCAGATTTCAAATAACTTAGACACCTCTAATTATTTCAAAATTTCATCATTATTTCAAAATTTCAAAATTTTTTCGAAATTTCGAAATTTCTTCAAAATTTCAAAATGTTTTTCAAAATTTCAAGAAGTTTTTCAAAATTTCAAAATATTTTCAAAATTTAATTAAAAAATCAAAATTCTGTGAAAATTTCGTCAAAATTTCAAAATGACGTGAAGATGACGACATTTCTCTGTGGTGGATCTCTCCTTCTCTGGCAACCCGATGGTCATGCGCTCGTCACAATTATCGTCACAACGTGACGAAAAGTGAATTTTACACGGAAATTCCTTCAGTTTGTTTAATAAGTCATGTATTGTGGTCATTTTGGTATAGGTGTCGACCCTTAACTCGTTGGACACCTCGATATGTTCCCTTGTAAGAGTCATAAGTAATTTGCCTTTTTTGTATCTAACGTTTACATTCATAGTCCACCTATACTCATGGATAATAGCTGGTAAGTGATATGTACACTGCAAATAAACTGGTGTCAATTCCGCGCGGTGTAGTCACATATAGACACCACGCGGTGTTAATTGCCCGTATTAACACCGCGTGGTGTCTATATGTGACTACACCGCGCGGAATTGACACCAGTTTATTTGCAGTGTACATACGCACAATCTTCATATTTTCAAAATAACCACACATGTGTATGTATGTACGTCATATGCATATTACTTAGCTGCATGCATACAGATATTACATCTGTAATACGCTTAATACATTTCGTGGAGTTATATATGTGAGATAAAACTAGAGTTTCTCAACGGGTTCGAGTCGTTATCGGGTTTCGGGTTTTTATCGGGTTCGGGTTCGGATTCGGATAGGGTTTTCTGTATCCGAACCTTATCGGGTTCGGATACGGATCACGCTTTCAGTATCCGATTGTTATCGGGTTCGGATTCGGATTTACCTTCGGATTATCCGAAAACCCGATTCAAAATTGAGCGATAAGATTTAAGTCCCAATAAGTTTTTTTTAAACATTACGAGTTGTTTAAAATAAGTTGTGATTCAATTAATGGAACGTTCATAAAATATGTAACCAAACTTTAATCATTTCTAAGTCTTCCCTCTCCATTCCATGTACACATGACGGGATAGAAATTTTAACCTGGGAAAGATTGGCAACCTTATCTAATTCTTTCTGCCTTCCTATCTTGAGTTACATATTTTATGACGGTTCAACAAATATTATGACAATGGTATATAATATACCCATGAGTAATGGATAATAGTAGGGGAGGAAACAAAAGTTTATGCAGTAGAAGGCTGGTTTCTTTTTTGACAAAAAATAGAAGTTCTAAAATTGAAGCTCAAAGTTGTGATTTGTTAGTACTAGTTGAGCCATAGTTGGAAAACAAATTCATTAATACACAAATGAGCCTATGAAATTATTTTATGCTTATCAGGTACTTATCGGGTTTCAGGTTCGGGTTCGGATAGAGCTTATCGGGTTCGGATTCGGATCGTTCCCCAAAGAAATCGGATTATCGGGTTCGGGTACATATCGGATTCGGATTGGGATGAAGGATTTCGTACCCGTTGAGAAACACTAGATAAAACTGGGGAAATGGCAAATTCTAACATTCCATAAATAATTTATTTAGACGTTTACATACGTAAGCAAATATCTACATATCAGATGAAAACAGCCCAAGACGAACGGCGTAATATGAAACTGTTTCAAAACAGTTTTAATCAAATGATTAAATTTGCATGTGTACAAACTTTTTACATAAATTTCTAAACTTGGGTTCAATTTGGCGCATGCAAGCAGACACAGTTTGATTATATCTCCACACTGCAAATTCCAAATATCGTCGCATGTAAATCTAATAAAAATAAATAATTTACAAAATTCATCATTTAATTTAGAATTTCATGTCCATCGTAAAAACAGCCCATAAATGCACCTCGTCAATTTTGAGTATCGAACGTATAATATTTCCAAAGTTGTATCTGAAACAAATCTAAAGTCGGGCAGGCAGACAATAATTTGACTAATCTCGAATTAAGTTTCCTTGAAATCTCGGAAAATTTCCCACCGACATAGTACTTAAAACGTTAAAATTATATATAAACCGTACAATTTATAACGTAAAATCATAAATCATGAATACGGCTTGATATTAAATCCACACTGGATTTCTGAGAATGCATAAGACCAATAATTCTATTAATTTAGGTACAAAAATTATATTATCGACAAGAAGGTTATAAATAAATACACCAAATTTAGTTGGCTTCTCATCCTCCATTTTATTTACACATGAAATACAACTTATCGCGACCAGGGTCACCCTCAAATACAAAATATATATTTTAAAATTTCCAAATATTTCCAAATATTTCCAAACATTTCAAAAAATGTGGCGCACCGAAGGGCTACACCATCTCCGTCGTTGTATTACCGCCATACAGCTCAGTTCGGCTTATACCGCATACTGTTTCACCTGGGATGTAAAAAATCAGCGGGGAAAAGCATGCCCACCCACATCCAGGCAATTCCGAAGTTACCAATTTTTCAGTGTTTTCGGTGTCGGTGTTGCCGAATCGATCCTGCTGGCGAGATGTTATCAGATCACAACTCTCGATTCATCACGTGTAGACTTCGTTATCAAGGCGTGTTTCACATTTCCGATGGCATTACTGCTTTACATGACGCTTCCGTACATCCTCGTGTTAGCCCTGCCCGCCGGATCGGAAACTCTTATCGCGTATTTTGACGCCCTCACTGGTCTGGAAGATTGGTTATCGGGTAAAAATCTATCTATTTGGGGGAAACTTATGTATATGAGATAATTATTAGTTTAGACACTAATCTAGACATACATATTTACACACTTTGAAAAAATACTTCCGATTTGGCAAAGTAAATCTGTGTAAATTACTTTTTACTCCTATCAGTGAAATAGTGTACGCAGAGTTAATGGAGTCAAAAGTTACAGAAAATCTGTTACTATTAATTATTTTGGAGAGTGTATTTTCCTTCCTTTTCCTTACCTCAGTTCTATTCCTTTTCTAGAATTCGTCACCCAACATGAATCACCACATTACCAACGGGCCCGATATGAACAATCCAAAACGAAGGTATCCCTCTACATAAAACTTTTATACGATGGATTCCACTATGCCGCGCCATTTATTGCTGTGGGCGTGGCCTTCTCCGAATTCAATCCGATCTACGAATTTAGCAAAATTACGCTTGGCCCGACAAATCCTATCATACTCACATTGCTCCGATTAGGAATTGGTTTCATAACCGTGCTCATGGGAATGTCAATGATCTCAATTCTCGCGATCTGCCTCTTGGTAACGATCCACGGCATAGTGACGCTCTACTTGTGGACTATTTTCATAATCCCGCCCAATGTCCAGAATCCCGCCGATTCATTACCTTTCCACCTTTCCCAACGGATCTATACCTGTCTGAGAATCATGACGCTGCAGCAGGGCGAATTCGCGCGCTTTTGTATCTTTACTTGCATGCACCACGCTCACCTCGTCACCATGTCGACGTGCGCCTTGTACTACTTTTTAATCCAGTTTTCTCCCGGGCATGAAATTTCCACAATTGTCACCTTGCTGTGTGGAATTTTGATTTTGTTCTGCGCTGGTCTAGAGTACTTCGCTGTGGGCGTGATGGCAAAGGCGTCATCCGCTTCGAAAGAGTATATTCGTGGGATGAAGTTTGTCCACGGGATGAACAAATATGAGAAGAAGGTTTTAAGGTCGGTGCTTCCGAATTGTATAAATTTGGAGCTTATTGGGTCCTTGGATACGATCAAGAATGGAATTCGGATGAGCTATTTTCTCAATTTTTGGGAAAGAGTGACCGACAACACGATGAACTTGTTGCTTGCGAGGAATTAAAGGCTAAAAAAGTTACTACGATAACTTCGATTTTTGTGTGAAGTAAATTTAGAGCAACTTTTAAACCCGTGAATATTTTTCCCTTCAATTTGTATCATATGAATCGACGGACAAAGTTCTGCTTGGGAGCACCGTGGAATTCCAATGAAGAGGATGACGTTGTTTATGATCAAATTCAAGAAATGTGAGAAAAAAAATTTATGAAATTTTCTAATTGAATAGTTACAAATATAGATTCCAGATACTTACATATGTTTTAGTCGACATATATTTATATATAAATATACGTGGACAGACAACCTCGTAAAATCATGACAAGTACAATTGCACATATCTGTGTCAACGTATATAATAAATTGCAGGACAAAATACACACGAAAAATCAGGAAATGCAAAATTTGAAGTCTTATCAGTTATACGCTGGTGCTCGCGAATACGTAGAAATAACCCGTTAATACTATAAACAGTTAAACATGTCACATCAGCCTAAACGCAGAATCCCCTCTTGCAGTACAATCTCTTCTGGCTTATCTTAGATAAACATACATATATTGAAGTGACAAAAAAGTGAACAACAACTTATGCACCACATCCACAAATCGAACCCCATTTCACTCAAGTATTCACAATCCTATTTTTCACTCGCTCAGCCGGAGCCAAGTTAGTCAGCTAAACACAGATTTCTTAGAGCTCTATTTATTTACATCGAAAATACTTTACTTAAAGTATGTACATCTCAATCATAATTTAGTGTTAGAAAATATTGTACATTAGATTTGTCACACTTACAAAAATTAGTTTTTCTCACTTCTAAATAAATAATTCGCGATCCTTTTTCGATGAGAAAAATTTAGCATAAATGGGACAATAAATTGGAACGAAGGCAAGCAAAATGCCAACCTCTATTTCTACGCGAAGAAACCTGACAACATGTCAGAAACTGTTCTGTGTCATATGTGCAGTTGGTTGTTTAACTTTAATTTGCATTAGTGTCATTAGCACTTCACCAAAAGATGTAACAGATTTGTACGAATTAACTGTCTTAAATGAAACAAAGTTAATCATTACTTCGACTCAAGCGACACCAAAAGACATAATTGATTTGTACGAATTTGTGCCTACCTTAAATGGAACAGAATTAATCTCGTCACAATCCATTACTTCGACTGAAGCGATAGGACCGTCAGCACCTTCTACAATTTGGAGAGACAACATGACAGATATAGGTATGTAGGTTTCGTTTACTGAAGTTGAAATTTAAAAAATCCTACAAAGCATGTAGGGGTGCCAAATCCGTTCCCAATTTTCAAATCCGGATTTCGGATTATCCGTTTTCACCTGGGCCTAAATCCGGATTTAAATCCGGTTTTGAATTATTTATTACAATTATCATTTTCCTTGATATTTGAACAAATCAGGTGGATTTCAGATAGTTACATTATCATATTCCATTACAATCTCAACTATTTTTGAGGATTTCAAAATTTTAGAAAATTTTCAGACCATCTAGGTAATTTCTGGGGGTATATTTGGTGCAACGAAAAAATGTGAAATTTGAAAAAATTAAGTTTGAGGTCGAATCTGATAAAGCAACAACATCGGATGAATAATATAAAACAAAACAACCAAATCGAAAGGAAATACGTGGGTGTTTTATTATTGATTTTCAAAAGGTATGTTCCGCACTGTTTCTTACCAAAATTTTGATGAAATAACAAACTTCAAAAACATTTTGGAAGTCGTGATTTTTTTCAGCTCAATCGGTTAAAAGAAACACCCGCAACAAATCATCCAAATATACCTCGAAAATATGCAAAAATTTACGACTTGATTCCATTATCATCCTAAAATCGTTTCCCCCTGATGTTTTTCTTCAACGTTTGAAACGGATAATAATCACTAAGGGTCCTGTCTGGACTGCACGGGGGGTGGTCTGTGCAGGTAAAGCGTAGTATTTCTAGCAATAAATTTTATAAGGAGGAGACCTTTGGTATCCTTCAAATTGATGATCATCAATTTGTTGGCAGATTTTTGCACTTTTCCTTTTATGTGTGGTGGAAATCCCCCGTGCTTCCAATGCATGAATTATTGTGTGGTCGTCGGGTCATAATAGTAAACCCAAGTATCATATTCAACTACTAAAATATGATACAGGTTCCAGTTTTCATTTAAAAGCTCAAAATTTGTATTGCAAAAGCAACTCGATCTTGTTTTTGAGATGCCAAAAGCAATTTTGATACCCAACAGAAGGAATCCATTTTCATACCTAAGTCTTCAGTTAACATGGAACAAATTATTGGTTTTGGAACACCCATCTCATCTGCTAAATAGGACAGTTTCAATCGTGGATCTCTAATAATTGGGTCTTTAAGTTTCTGGAGGTTTTCTGCGGTGGAAACCGATTTTGGGTATCCTGGCGACTTTTTTGTTTGGGACATCTTCTCGCCTTTATTTGAACTTATCGACCCAATTGTATTTGTGCTTGTGTTGAGCAGTTTCCATCGTAAACTTTAAGCATTCGATCATAAATCTGCGACACATATTGCCCCTCCAGCAATAAAATTTAAATCACACTACGATGTTTAATTTGCAAATGTGACATTTTTTCCGTCGAGGTAAAGTTTGCTGATTTATTGCTAGTGTTAATGTTAACCTAAAGGGATGAAAAAATCACAGCATCCTAGATGTATCTAAAGTTTGTTATTTCATCAAAATTTTGGTCAGAAACAGTGCGGAACATACATTTTGAAAATCAATAATGAAACACCTACGTATAACAAAAAATTCACTTTTTTTTAGCGTTTTGAACTTTTAGATCGTAAATGAATACGAGTCATAACATTAAGGGGATCTGGATTCCTCCCTGAATGAAATCCGGATTTCGAAGTATCCGAAATCCGAAAAATTCGGATTTTTCGAATTCGGACTATCCGGATTTGTCAGCCCTAAATGCAGGCCTTTCACGTGTAGCACTCATGATTTGGATGGGAAGAATTCTATTTTGTTATCACAAAGAATCAATCACAAAAAATTATAATGGCCACATTTTTCTGGAATTATGTGGAACGCGTCGGCGCGAATTTTAAATTGGTCTTCCATCTAAAACTGGCTGGATCCGGGGTGTAAACCGGGTTTTCTAATCGCATTCATGCGAACTGTAGTGCACCCATGATCGCAAAAAATTGCAAACATGGTCAGATGGGGACTCACCTGATTTATTGAAACCGATATTGTCGCGGAATTGTAATCTCATACTTTTCCCCGGGCTTTGAAATCTATAAAAATGACAAACTCCTGTAGATTTTTAAAATCTACAGGAAATTAAAATCTGATTTTAATTTTCGAAAAATCCTGCAGGATTTGTAAGAAGTCACGCAAATCATTGTGAAGAGGAGAAATATGTTTTTTATTAATTTTTTTATTCGTGATAAGATTGAAAATGTTCCCGGATTTTCAAACTGGTTTGAAAACTGTTTAAAATTCGCGCCTAGCGTCCAGATTGGCGCGAACTATGAAAAAATATTTCTGCTTAACCACAAAAAATTTGTGTCATGGAAATTTGAGTTTTACATGGGGAAGATCTGCATTGAGTACGCGGTACCCTAAATCGATACTTCCAACTTAATCCTTTGCAGATCTACAAGAAATGTTCGATATCCTAGAAACCACTCCAAATTTATGGGGCTACCGCAGCACTATGGGCCAGGGGGCCCAAGATGTGACCTTTAAGGCAGTACTTTGAATTGGCTGCTCTTGTATACCATTTTGGACTACAGTACCATGTTGTTCTAAATGCATAATATTAAGTGAAAAGTTACACCCACTCCAGAGAACCAGGGGGGTAAACTTTCCCAAACACATTGCGGAGATAGGGAGAAACGCCCTTTAGCATTTCCGTCCATTTCCGTGCTTTACGAACTTGCTTCTTATACCACTCGAGAGCTTCTGGGGTGGAGAATAAATGCTGGTGCCGGAAATTGCCACTTTCGACTACAAGTGAAACCACACCCCTTCCTAGTCACATACATAACTAAATAAGTAATGAGCTAAATTGATTTCATTTAACGGCATTCTCAGTTAAAATCATCATGCGACTTATCGATTTGATGGACAAGATACGTTGGTGTGGACTGCCCATCCAGATCCAAAAGCCACTATCACTGGGGTGTGGCTATATGTAGGTGCCCCACATTATAATGTGGGGCACCTATCGCCACAACCTTGACAGTTGAAAGTCGGATTACTTTTCAAATTATTGACCGATTTTAAAATTTGTAACTGTTTTGGAAACCTTAGGTAAATGGGCGAAATATTAATTTCCAGATTTTTCAAATTCGACCGCACCCCATCGAAATTAAGGTCAAAAAATTATAAAATATAATTAACGAATACCGCTAAATTTCAGACTAAAAATCGAATTTCTTGTCGAAAAATACCTCGACACCGTGGGCACTACCAGCCATGTTCAAATAGCCACATGCCACACCCCCAGTGGGTGTGGCCCTCGGAGACTTTTCGATTTTAACGAAACCATGTCATGTGACATATCATTTTTCTCAGGGCGATGAAGACATTACGACTGAATACTTAAAATTTACGAACCACACCCCCAGTGGGTGTGGTTCTCAGAAACTTTTTGATTTTAATGAAACCATGTCATGTGATATATCATTCTTCTCACCCTGATGAGGAGATTTCGACGGACTAACCTAAATTTTAAAACCGCACCCATAGTGGGTGTGGCCCTCGGCGACTTTTCGCTTTTAACGGAACCATGTCATATGATGTATCATTTTTCTCAGCTCGACGAGCTGGTTTCGACGGAATACCTAAGCTTGGGAATCCGTACCCCACAGTGGGTGTGGTTCTAAGTAAGTTGTCGTTCTTGACGAAACCATATCATGAGATGTATCATATTTCTCAGCTCGACAAGGGGGACTCGACGGAATACCTAAAACTTGCAAACCGCGCCCCTGTGGGTGTGGGTTTTAGAAAATTTTCGATTTTAATAAAACCATGCCCCATTGGATGTGGCTCTCGGCGGCTTTTCGATTTTACGTCATTTGATATAGGCTCATTCCATTTGTAAGCAACACGTTTGATCAAGTACCAGGAAATAGAGGTGCTAAACCCTGCTCCCTGGTGGTGGTGGTTGCCTGGCCATGTATTTTCTATCTTTTGCAAGAGAACACTACACAACTCACACTTTGTCAATGTTCCCGGCCACGTAGGAACACAGAATTATTTACTACTGTCTACACAAGCAGCCCATGTTAATTTTACCTTATCGAAAAATTGCCAAAACTCCAAGACGGACAAAAATCGCGTGGGGTTTTAAACTTTTTTGTTTCCTCAGGCCCAAAGGCATCGATTGGCTTATCTCTCAATGAGCGATTCCTGTCCGTCTTCTCGATAATCGAGTTTTTAAATACATTTCAAATTTCAGATTTTTTTGAATTTTTGAATTTTTTAAAATTTTTCATAGCAAATAATGATCAATGAATGAAATCTGTAAATGTAACCTACCCCTTTGAACCAACACTTTCGTGACGAAAGCATTTTCAATGCATTTGCAAATTTTCTTTAAAATGCTATATCTTTGCGAAAAAAATTAATTTTCAAATTTTGATTTTTATGATATGTTTTATTTTATATTATGCAACTATGATATGATTGTGGACAAGATATCAAATATGGGTGCGACGACGATCGTGTGGGTTCAGATGGAATGAGCCTATATTTATACTTTTTTCTTAGCTGGACGACGGGATCTCGACAGAATTTTTAGAATTTTGAACACCACACCCCAGTTGGTGTGGTGTTCAGCGACTTGAAGCTGTTTTCTCCGATTTTAAATTTCCCCCACACCGAAATAACACAGCCTGTATTATTTTGTTTCGAATTGTATTGTATTATTATTTGAATTTCCATGAAAGTTCGTGTTTTCGGTTGTAGCGGTTTTGATTGCATTTTCAGTTCAAGTTTAAATTTGTCAACAAGTTTTGTTTTATAATTTTAACGCTATATCAAAAACGAAAGAACTAAAACATTTTCTCAAAAATTACTAAAAATAAAATTATCAAAATACGTTTCTAAAAATTTAAAACTTTGTATGCGATTTCGTAATTTCGAAAAATACAGCAAGAAATTGTTAAAAAATACAATTGTTGAAAGTGGGATTTTCTTAATTTACATAATGCAATTCTAATTATTTTGTCCAAATCCCCTCATTTAGTTAAGATAAATGATATATTAAATGACATGACATGGTTTAGTTAAAACTGAAAAGTCGCTGCACGCTGATTTTAGGTATTCCATCGAAATCCCTTTGTCGAGCTGAGAAAAATGATATATCACATGACACGGTTCCGTTGAAATGGACAATTATCTTAGTGCCACCCCCACTGTGGGTGTGGTTTAACAAATTTAGGTATTAAATCGAAACCCCGTTGTTGAGCTGAGAAAAATGATATATCACATGACATGGTTCCGTTAAAATCGAAAAGTCGGCGAAGGCCACACCCATGGGGGGTGTGGCATGTGAGTCTTAAAAATTTTCTCATATAACATATGCCTTAGGTTATCGTTTCACACCAAAATCTAATTCTTGTTTCTTCAAATTCGGCTCCTATATATTTTTGGCCACAATTTATTAAATCTGGCCCATAGTGCGCAGCCCCAAGTTAAGACTGGCCTCAACTCCGAATAGGGTCGTAGAACAGAGGAAATGGATACAAAGAATTTCAGAGTCCCAATTTGTTAAGAAGTCACAGGTTTAAGATTCTCCAAAATTTAATTATACATACATTATCAATTACGGAAATCATTGATGTTAAGAAGTTTCAGAAGGAAATATAAATATATTTACTGCAGCCCCAGAAATTGCTCGCCTATGTTCGCCCAGGGGAGGATTATTATTACACAGATAACAAAGTGAATTGTCCATATGCGCCGCATTTTGTGGAGAAATGTCTACCAAATATCGTACGGTCTAACAAATCCTTGGTGGAAACTTTACAAAATCCAGTCAGGCCTGCGTTCGAGTACAAGTAAGAACACGAGAAATTCATTAAGTGCATCCATGATTCGACCGATTATCTTCAAAGTCACCCCATTTTAAGTCACGTCGAGACTTCCGGAATTATTTTAAAATTCTGATGGACAAATTCGTGGTAACTAAATAAGTTCATGAGTTACTTAAAGTCCGTTCGATGCGTGACATTCTTTCGGAGGAATCCTAACCTTGAGATCTAATTCAAAAATAGTGAAAATCCGAGTATTAATTTCCGTTCTATAAAATCTTCGTCCAGAATTTTCATATAAATTCCCACAACCGAGAAATGAGTGGAAATGTGTAGAGTAATTAGACCATTTGGGTACCCAATCATTAAGTCCTTCGTCAATTAATACATAAGCACTTATCTTTGTCAATGCTCTACCTCTATAAATTTAGGTATAACGGAATCGATGCTGTAGTCGGGATACGAAATGGTTACTGGGGAAGCGACTCGTTGTATTCGGAGCAGCTACTGCCACCAGGGGTGGTGCAGATATTCTACCAAAATGAGAGCCCGTGTCACACGAGGTCTGTCCGATTAGGGGAGACGAACGCATGGCTGGCTTCGTACTGGGGTGGCGCCGATATTCCGACGTCATCCTATGAAATTGTACGAAACGGTGGGGACGGTAAGTCATTACTCTTAAAAATAATGTAACCCTTTTGAAAAGTCTGTAAATGCACTCCAAATTGTAAAGGGTGTTGATTTAATTCGTCCCGAAAATTTTGTAGAAACCGATACATATTTACGAAAATTAGCGCAAGCTTAAACGCGAATAGTTAAGTGCACGATTAATAAAAATTTCCGACAGACTAATTACTAATGCGTCTCTAATAAATAAATATTAGTTCGTTTAGCAAGTTAACACAGTTTTTGAGCTGCAAATTTTCGAATATTGACAGGAGAAATAGGAACGAATTAAATCAACACCCTGCATATTAATTTATAGTGAATTTACTTTTCAAAGGGGTCACATTATTTTTAAGAGTGCAAATTTTCTTGTGGTGAGATATCATGAAGGTTTTAATTAGTAACAACTTTTCTAAGGGTACAAGTACGATAAAACGGTCGCTTCAATATCAAAATTCAACGAATCCAGTCTCCAGCCCAAGAAACTAAAACTTGCGGCCGCTTTAATCTCGAACTGCGTCTACACTAAAAACGGCCGAGTTAATTATATCCGAGCTCTGAAACGCCACATAGATATCGATTTGTACGGACGTTGTGGCACCTTAACCTGTCCGGAAGAAGATTGCATACAATTCCTCCAACGAAACTACAAGTTTTATTTGGCCTTTGAAAACTGTAATTGCGAAGATTACATTACCGAGAAATTTTTCGTGACGGGACTTTAGTAAGACAAAAAACTATTTTATTTATTTGCACATAAAGTAGTAAATTCTAAAAAGTGTTGATACATTTACAAATTAAATTAAATGCTTTATAGCTCTCTTCTGAGTTTAACTGACGTTGAATTTTTGTAGACCTTAATAATTTTTGATGCATTTACTTTTTAAATGGATGCGGAATTTTTAGAGTGCATAGCGCATTTATAAATTTTTTTATGACAGCAACGGCCTGGTCCCTGTCGTCATGGGTGCCACAAAGTCGGATTATGAACGCCGAGCTCCACCCCATTCGTTTATCCACGTGGATGATTTCGGCTCACCGGAAGAACTTGCCAACTATCTGCTCCAGCTTGACGGGGATGAGGACCTTTACCAAAAGTATTTTGATTGGAGACGTAACCCAGAAACCGTGTGGACTTTAACAAGTCGAAATCAGGAAGATTTTTTCTGTCGAGTTTGTGGAATGCTGTACTACGCAGATTTCGTCCCCCCGCAACCATGGCCGAATAGGGAGACCCGATTCGCGGATGTGAGCCCATGTCAGCATAATTCTCACAGTACAGCGAATAATCTGTATGCTAGTGCTCTTATTATTATACATTTAATACTACATATATAGATTTGTGTATTATAAACTTTTAAGTGTTTTTCACTGTGGGAATCATAAATTTGCGAGACTTCTAAAGCTAAATCGTTTAGTATAGTTGAATAATTTTTATTCCGTCTATTGCCAGCCATCAAAAGTATTGACCATTTTGGGGTTTGCTGGGTCGCAAATTAATAAAACCCAGCAGTTTTTACTGTTTGTGAAAGGGTTGTACTATTTCATATTCTAACGGAATATCTATGTACATATATATATTAAGTAGCTCAATATATCCACACTACATATAAACCCAGAAACGTTGGTGTAAGAGATTGTCATGCTTAAGGAATATCTGGTTATGTAATGAACGAATCAATATCAGGCTACTTTCAAAATTGAAAATAATAATAGTAATGTATACACTACTATTGGAGGCTTCGATTATGTATTCCTAAATAAATCATGCTAAGAACTTTAAGTTTATTTAGCCTCGAGTTTGACAGTAAACAGGTTTCATCAACTGATACAATAGAAAATAATAGAATATAGTATTAATTATTTACAATAATATGCTGATTAATTTTTTTATATTGCGACGCAAGTTTACAAACTTACGCTGGTTCATACATTATTCCAGTTATTTCTTGATGTGTTTTCTCTCGTTCTCATAAAACTAGGGTGTTATTTGTTATTAAATTGTGGAGTTTCAATTAGCATTTATTCATCATGTCGTTCGGATCATGGATTTACCTCGTGTGCACATTAATATCCTGGTATTTTAAGTACACCGATTGTGAGTGTTTGGAACGGTAAATTCGTCGAATCCGACCTTACCTTTATATTCAGCCCAAACTGTGACAAATTATTAGACGTGGCAGCTTCCATGCCTTATTTTCATGATATTATACAAGAGAATTCCTACACACCTCTCCGCCATATCGTTCTCTGTCAAACTCGATCAAGACACCACTATCCCAATGGATTCAACTTAAGGAAGTGGTATGACTACAATGGAACAATGAAGTCTGCCAGGAATAAAGTACTTTTTGCTCCGTTGGAAGCTATTAAGGGTTCTAACCCGGCATCTGTTGAGTACAAGTGTGTCTTCTTGATTTATATTGCTGACCGAGTGTTCCATCAAGAATTCGTTTTTGGTCGAACTAATCGTCCCTTAGCTAAGGCATGTCTCCAAAGGCATGCTCAATTTTTAGGCACCGTGAAGCTCGTCCTGTTCGAAGAGAGTCACACTTCACTCCACTTCATTCCACGTTTGACATGTAGTCCGATCACATTTTCACAGCTGGAGACGATTTCTTTGCCACATATCCAGCAAGCTTGGGATGCCGAGAATACAAATTTGCATGAATACCTAATTTTTGTTACGACCCCAGTAATTGCAAAGTGTGGTTTACTCTATGAAGGTTTTTTAAAGCTACAAGACACAGATTTCTGCCCTGTATCTACGATTGCTGAAAAATATAATTTGACAGTACTGGAATTCAATAGACGAATGATTGTATTCGACGAAAAAAGTTTTGGGGTTCCCTTATTCTCCATGTTTAACCAGATCAGCTTAACCGATGTAGTTAACCAGCTTGACTTTATGCTCATAAATTTCATAACTGTGACCAGTCTTCCGTCTCCTGCGAATGGGCTGGCAACATTCTTGTCCCCGTTCGACTTGGAAACGTGGTGCTGCCTGGTGACTAGCGTGATCTCAACTGCGGGATTTCTTCAGTTTGTGTTATATCGTCCAGTGAATCCTTGCAAATTGACGTGTCGGGTTTCTAAAATGGCTGAGAATATGATCACTGTATTCTCTATATTTCTTGGCCAAGTCGGCAATAGTTTCAGAAGAGCGTACCGAGTCGGGAAAATAGCCTTACTGCTGGTCACCTTGTGGTTATTTGGGAATCTCATCCTCATAAATAATTATTATCAGGGCTCTATATACTCATGTTTGGCGGTCCTCTTCCCCCCTCAGACTCCTGGCGGGATTGAGGAACTTAGAGATCTGGATATACCTATCGTGGCGATGAACCTATTTGCCAAGACGGGAACAAACTCATTGAATACTTTTCTTGTGGATGAAATAATTCCAAAATTAATCCATAGTGATATTCAGACCCCCAAATTTGTCAAGTTGTTAACCAAATTTCAAACAAAGGTATTATCCTATAATGACAAGTCGGTGTCAGGTATGGTGAAAAAAATGCTTTATGAAAATTCAACCCTTCCTTATCCGATGGTGGCCTTATTTGTCATGAAAGATACGTTAGAACGAATAGTGAAATTAGTAAAATTTTCGAAGAACCGTTACATTGTTGGAAATAAGGGGACCTCACCATTCCGAGTTTTCGCGCTAAGAACTGGTAGCAGAAATTTGCTTGTGCCCTACTTCGCGAAAGAGTGGAGACGCTTGCAGGAGTCCGGTTTGACTGAGATGTGGCACAGGCTGTACGTGATGGTGTTATTGTTAAGAGAGAAAAATAGAATCTACGGACCAGGTCAACGGTCAGAATTCGTGCAGTACTTGTTTAGTGGTTTTAAGGAGAAGGCAACATTCCATGAGTCGCACCCTGTCTCCATGGATCTAATTTTTCCAGCATTCTCCCTCTGTTCCGGGGTTGTGGCGTTCTGCGTGGTTAAGTTTATGGCAGAGAATGCACAAGCATTTTCATCCGGGGGCAAGGCTGTTGCCCTGAGGATCGTTTATGGATTTGTCCACTTCGGGAGAATGTGTAACAAATTTATAGATTTAAGGAGACAGATTAGGCATAAAAAGATGCCGAATGTAAAGGTTGTAGTCAGACCCATAAGGTGAATCTATTATTGCTACTCATAATAAATGAATTATGGGGCACAATTTAACCATACAATTTAAGTATGTACATAAGTCTTGGCTTGGGAAAAACATTTCTTAAATATTAAAATTTAATTATACATATCTGATTTAAATAAAAAATTACTCAAATTTTGGACTATCATGCGTTAATTTTTTACGGACAGAAACAGACACTAGGAAAAGCGTGGAAGAGCTTTCGCAAATTTTGTAAAGGAAATTTATGTACAAGCTGTCTACATACTTGTAAATAACTAACGATTTGAATTGTAAATTAATATGCAAGGTTAACACTGATTCATTCGTAAAATTTCTTCTGGTTTGATGTTGAATCTGATATATCGTAAAAACTCTATTTATAGCCATATTCTAATTATAGCCGGTCTCCAAATATAGACGGGTGTAGAGACCAAGATTTCCAAATTATAGCCGGGTCGTCTCTAATTATAGCCGGGTCCCCAATTATGGCCGGGTCTCTAATTATGCCTGTCTTATCCACTGTGTCCCCGTTCATAGCCCATTAAAGAAAATGCTGTACATTCGATTAATGCACGAATGAGGTCAAAATTAACAAAACGTTTAATTTTATTTGACCAAGAATGCACTTAATCATGACAAAAAGCCATTTTATGATATTAAAAATTAGCGAGGAACAAAATTTAGCCGGGTCTCTAATTATAGCCGGTCCCTAATTGTAGCCGGGTCTGTGATACCCAGTTTTGAGTTTTATCCCGGCTATAAATAGAGTATTTACGGTACATATATTGACGTTAAAGGATTAATTGCAATTTTTTTAAAAGTGTAAATAAAACAAAATATTATTGTGTGTACACATTTTTAAGATAAATACGCAAGTATGTTAAACGAATCATTTACTTCTTTACTTCGTTCAACATTATTTCACCCATTGATTACTTATCTTGCGATGTTGACAGGCATGAACTTGAGAATATTCATATGTATTGATGTCCTCAATTAGTACGAGTAATTCATTTAATTTAATGACGATTATAGGTACGTACGTATGTACAATTCGACTTTACATATGTTCCAAATGCCAAATTCGTCTGGATCAAGCATTCATTCCTTCACCTCGCTTGACCCGAGACGATTAAACTCTTACGTAGATAAAAGTATGTAGGATTACAAGTCAATTTTTATGCCATTTTTAACTCAGCCCTATGTTGCATTACATTCTGCCCGAATCATTAAATACGTTACACAGTGTATGTACATGTTACTTACAAAGTGAGTTCACGTAATAAGTATAAATGGTAAAAATGAATGAAAACAGACACCATTCTCCACAAACCCTGCATAAATTCAAGGTTAGTAATGAGCAAAATTTGCACGGAGTTTAGTAATGATTGGGATGAAATCATCAAGTTTCATTCACATGTCCACTTGATCTCAAATTAGTAACGTCTTAATAAAACACTCTTCCAATTAAAAAAAAATGAAATTTTACAATTTACCAATTCTCATCCTGTTAACGTGTTTGGTTTCATCCGTCGTCGCAAATTCTGAGGAGGAAGAAGACGATGATTGGTTTTCTTTTTCGTCATCATCAGAAGAAAACGAAATAATTCCAAATAATAAATCTTCCGTTAAAAAACCAGCTCCGAAAAAAGAGAAGCAGTGGAATCGGGCAGGACTTTGTGATCACGACGTGATTACGTCAGTCATACTGAAACTGATTTTGGACGCGCAAGATCGCATAGCAAAAGGAGACAATAGCACCGGACTACAACCGCTGGACCCGATTTATATCCCGGAAATTGTTTTGGATGGGGAGAAAATAGGGAGGAGTGGTGGCGGCGACGGTGGAGAAAATTCTAATTCCCCGGTCCAAGGAACGATTGGGTGGGTGGTCAAATAATTATTAACAGAGGGCGGGTATGTATGTATTTACGAAAAAATGTTTATGAAAATACCGAAAAACATTTATGAAATATGTACATACGAAAAAAACTACGTAAAACTAATGATTTTCCATATTTTTGAATTTAATACGTCAGGTTCTCTTTGTCACCTAACATGGTTGAAATATTCGCAAACAATATGAATGCATATGGATTCATATTTTCTAAATAATATGCAAAACATTTGTGTAATTTGAGATTATAGCGAAAAGTTTATTTATAAATATTCTTGTATGAAATGTGTAACAAAATTTATAAATATATGTTTGGAAATTTTGGGAATGAATTTTAATTTGGGAGCCCTATTCCTCTGTACGAATGAGGGGCCACACTCACAAAGTTCTATCGATATTGATAATCTACTAAAAATTAGAAATAAGTGCATATCCGCAATTTGCATGTGAATTTTGGTGTACATTACATATGTTCAATGACAAGATTTATTTAATAATTATTTTTGCAGAGATGTCTACATCAAGGACTTATCAAAATTTAACGTCACCGGGATTAATGCCGACTTGGAAAAAATGTTTGTCAACTTATCAATTGCTTTGGAATCGATAACTATTTCAGGTATGCAAACAAGACAGCAGAAAAAATTGCAAATGTTCATAATTAAACCTTAGAAAAGTATGTCTGGGATAACTAAAACCCGGTTTTAGAGAGGTTGAGCAGAATTAATGATTTGGTAATTGTGACTGTAATTTTGATTGCATTTACATACAAAGATCGCATTTAATCACCTTTAATCAGAGAGTAATTAATCGTGATTACTGGATTAAGGATTAAGGATAATAATCCTTAATGCTTAATCCCAGTAAATCTGATGCAATTAATCCTTAATCCCGACGGAATATTACCACACCATTAATCCTTAATCCCAACGGAATATTACTACATCATTAATCCCTAATCCTTAATCCCGACGAAGTGTGACTAAATTATTAATCTTTAATCATGATTAGGATTAAGTAAGTTGCGCAAGATTAATCTTTGTGCAACCTCACTATTATAAATCTCACGTAAATATTTTTACAGGGACTGGACGTCTAAAAGTTGGCCCACTCTACTTCCCGATCTTTGGCAAGGGCAAATTCCTCTTTCAACCCGGCGGCGTCGACGCTTTCATGTTTGCTCAGTTCGGAACGGACGAAAACGGGACCAGATATTTGGCCGATTTCGATTTCGGATTAACCCTGAAAAAGCTTCACATCGAGCTGACCCCTCCCCTGCCACCCCCACCGTTCAGGAGATTTAATCCACTGGCTGATGTCATGAGTGGCGTAGGGGCTAGAATTTTTAACAAGTTGGAGCAACGCATGCACCCCGATCTGAGGAGAAAAGGAAGTCAAGAGATTTCAAAAAGGATGGGGGTACGTGCATAAATTTTCTGCTGCGGGATTTTCCAGCGAGTTATATTTAAAAATCAAGCCAAGAGTATTAATTACGTGGCAATTATTTTTCCATTGAATGAGCCCACTGGAGAAATATTTTGGCGGCAAGGTTCAGTTTCGTCTCGCATTTCCCTTAAATTGGTGAAACTCAAGGAGGGTTTGTGAACTTTGTTCCCCCCCAAGGCTTTCTAATCAATTAGTCAATCTAATTAATTATCTAATTAACTAGCATGTTTAAACGAATTAGTAATTACTAATCAACCTTAACTAGTACTAGTACCGAAGCTGATTTTAATTACTAATTAATTAGAAAGTCATTAAAAATCATTAATTAATTGGTCAATGTTGTAATTAATTGGCTACCTGAGTTTAATTACCAATTAACTACCCTTTAATTTAACAAAACATTTTCCTTCTAATTATCAATTACTAATTGATTAGAAATGTAGCTAATTAAAAAGCTCGGCCCTCGCCCCCAAAAAAATCACTTCTTCAAAGGTGTCATTCAACGGAAACATTAGTGCCATGTGATTACTAATTTTTGCGTGATAAAGCCTGCATTATGTAAATCTGAAACTCATTCCGTATTTGTAGACGTGGAAAATGCTGAATGAAGAAATTTTGGAGAATATGATCAATCATTCTGTATTTTGCTACTTGGGGTGAAGCTTGCATTTTCAACACATGCTGGTCTGGTGATTGGGTATGACAACGCATAAGTAAATGCATTGTTACATACATTGTAATTTGTTAAAGTAGGTAAGTATGTACATATGCCTACAATAAATCAACAATTGTCTTAAAGCTAAACTTTGTTGTCTCCTGTGTGATATTTGTTTAATTCATATTCATATTTTATGCCGACATTGCTTTATTATTTTAAATTATGCATAAAACCAAATTGAAAGTTGAAAATAAATGGTTCCATTCGCAAATTTCAAACTAATTATAGTTGACGCTGGTTTGGTCCAAATCTGTGAGAATACGTTGGGAGACCTCTATTGTTACTTTACTCAGGTTATTGTTGACTTGGTTTATATTTATTAATAGCAAAATAGCATTTTTAAGCTGATGTACATACTAACAAATGCGAAATTTCACAAAAGATGAGGTTGAGTTGGGAGATTATTCAGAAACTATCTTGGACGAATGACATGCGCACATTTTAAAAAATTCACACATTTCCCAACAATTTATATCTTTGCATAGCAAACGAAAATTAATTTTGAAATTAAGGGAATCCGAATTTATTCCAAACTAAAATCCTGATTTCGGATAATTCGAAATCCAAAAAATCCGGATTTCGGATAATTCGAAATCCAAAAAATCCGGATTTCGGATAATTCGAAATCCAAAAAATCCGGATTTCGGATAATTCGAAATCCAAAAAATCCGGATTTTTCGAATTCCATGTATCCGGATTTTTCGAATTCCATGTATCCGGATTTGCCAGCCCTAATGGACAACTTTTCCAGAAAGTGTGGCGTCTCGCAAACCTTCTAGTAATAATCAAGTTTTTTCCACGTTACGATAACAACAAAGGTAACGAATTTTATGCAGTGAAACTTGTCTGCTAATTAAAAAGATTGCACGTATGTATGTACATAAATATGCATATTTATATCAAAATCCTCTTCTATATAAACATAACCGTAAGAGTCTTAACATGCATAGCTCAATCTTATAGACTTGTTTGCACCATATTTTTAAACAGCATCTTTGACGAGACTCATAACCCGCGTCCGGATAAATATGTTCTTAAAAACCCGGAAATATTTATGTAAAATGTTCAATCAAATCGTCAAAATATGTATTTAAAACATAATTCGCTTTAAATTGACCCAAATTTAACTTATTTGACTGCAGGAATGCCAAAAAATGCTTTTACATTTCAAAGTGACAAACTAAAAACATTTCAACATTCTCTGGTATTATTTCTACGATGATCGGAATTTTTTATAAATTGTGAATTTCTGAGGTTTCTCTAAAAGAATATATTTTTTCGAAAAAATCGCTGAAATATGTAAAAACATATTTATTTGTATTAAAAATAATATATATTTTTTTTAAATCGCTGAAATATGTCAAAACATATTTATGTGTATGAAAAAATTTCGGCAAAATCGTCGAAATATGTTAAAACATATTTAGATGTCCCAAAACCTGGAAATATGTAAAATATGTGAGAACATTTTTTTGACGGTGTGACCTATGCCTGACCAGGAACAATATTCCAAAGTTTCAATCCGATCGGGTTATTATTGAAAAAGTTTAAAATACATACATACCCGGACTCTGCTCATAACTAATTGTCGTTCGCATCCTTATTTACATATGTAGTCTCGTAAAATAATCTGCAAAGTGAAAGACGAGGTCAAGCTTAATGCCCACATCAAGTTTTCTGTGGCTGGTTTATACACACTTATGTTCTGATTTTTTCCACCTGCATTCATTAACCACATACAAATCCGCAATCATAAATAAAACTGTCTGCCATGAACATAAATAATTTTAGGTATTTATGTTAAAACATAAAACAGAGTAAGAAAACGAGTTTCTTGATCCTACTTCTGCCCAGAAATGGGTACAAAACGAGACGACCCTTGTCCCCCGACAGAAGCTTGTTGCCGTCTGAGCTGAAAGTTTGTGGGTGAGAAAATTTTCGTCAAGAAAAAAAATTGAAATGCGTCATCTAAAAATTTTGGTAAGACTTTTGTAAGTTTGAAAAAATTAATTTAGTAAATTTAGTTATATTTTGAAACTGAAAAGTACTTGCTTTACTAAATTTCTAGGTCCTCACCCTAACCTTTGTTTTATCAATGAGGGTATCCTCCTTTCCGCTGGGTGGGCAGGACGCCGCTCCCACTGCGATGACACGTGCTTCAATGGGGACCAATTTTTTATTTCGTGACACAAACTATGAAAAACTAAATGATAATTTCCTGCTTAAGGCACAACTTCAAAATCAAGGATTAGTTGTATTAAAATCCGAAAATGAAAACGGTGTAATTCCAACTAATCGGAAATCCAGGCAGATGCCCTTCATCATCTATGGAGGATGGTAAGTTTAAATGTTCCTAACGTGATTGTGGGTTTATAAATCTTGCATTTTTTCCCGATCGGTCAAACACCCAGACGAACTCTTAAAAAGTAATGAACCCTTTGAAAAAAAAATACTTAAGCTCAAAACCTTTAAATACATTCAGTACACCGTACGAAAACCAGTGTAAATTTTCCTCTTTTCATAAGCGAAGCCTTAAATGTTTGCAATATTACGCCTCCTCCTCCTCGGTTTATCTCCCTTTACTTCATATCGAGCGCAGATATGTAGTGGCAGAGATGGAGATCGAAAAACGCGTCTCACAATGGAACCTTTTTTCAAGCTACATCGGGATTGACTAACGAGTTATATCAAAGAATCAAGCCAAAAATTAGAAATCACATGGCGCTTATCGTTCCGTTGAATGGCCCCTTTGAGCTAAGGACAACCACCACCCCATCCAACAAGGCAAAAAAAGTGTTAATTCCGACCGTGCTTAAGAAAATTGACCTATTGACCTCAAAAGGCAATCCATCGACCCAAAAGGAAATTTCCCGTAAGGCTGGGGTGTCTAAGCATTGAGTGAAAAGAGAAATTAAGATTTTTGAAAAACGACTTCGTCGGAAAACTCGTGTGCATCAGCTGACTGAAAAACAGGAAAAAAATCGTGCCCGTCTTTGCAAAAAAATTTATTCAAATTTTCTGTTAGGGAATAAGAGTTTGTTTTTAGTGACATTTGACGAAGCACTATTTTCCCCACAAATTACTAATTAGGTTCGAAGAGCTTACTACACGACAAATGCCGAAAACAATTCACTCAAGTTGGTGCTTCCCCGTGAGAAGAACTTTTATAAACAGTTTATGGCTGGGGGTGCAATGTCGGGTCGTGGTGTCCTCCCACTTATCAAAGTCCCCCAAAAAGTGAAGGTATCTGCAAAGTATGATGTGGACCGTGTATCGAAACCGCTTTTAGAGTAACATTTTCCTAAATAGCACGGTAAATAAATAAATAAGGTGATTATTCATCGGGACGCAGCGTCTTCCCAGACGACAAAGTTAACCCAAGGTTATGCAAAAGACCTTGAACCTAGATTGGGGATAAAAATCATTTCGAATAGTAAAATACCTGTACAGTCCCCTGATGTAAGTCAAATGGGCATTTTTGAGTTCGGATACTTAAAAAGAAAATCTTTTCTGTGGAGACTGGATTTTTTAGACGGAGTTTGAAAAGAATTGAAATGACTGCCTCACCTTCTGGGGGCTGTGGGGGAGGCATTTTTGAAAGTAGAGAGTTGAAATTTTGCACACAACTACCTGAGGATAACATGATCCTCTGTTCAAAATTTTGACCCGCTACGACAAACCGTTCCGGGGTTATTCAAGGCCAAAATCGTTATATTTTAAGCGCCTGACCCTACTGTATAACAAATTTAAATACATCTTCAGAACCATGGGATTTGTAATACTGAGTTAATTTTTAATATAATTTAAAATATGTTATAAATATGTATTCGTTTGGATGACAAATTTAAAATTGATGAGAAATATAATTAAAATTGGGAATCATTCTGAGTGCTGTATTATTTACGTAAATTATAGCGCTTAAAGTTAAGCTGGAGGGTCTGAATGTTGTAACTGTCATGTCATAAATGTCATATTTGTCGGACATTTATAAATAATGTCAGACATTTAAGACAACTATGACATGACAAATATGAGTTGACACGACGTTTACTTCTTGACATCGAAATTGTAGAAATCTGAGTTCGACCTGGTTCATCAATCAGAAGAAGCAGGATGATCTTTGTTTCTTGAACTTCTTAACCATACACTCTTAATTCTTTTAAGTAAACTATACTAAATAAGTCCATAGTAAGGTGAGCTTTATATAGAGTAAAATTTACTCTGGATTTAGTATATATGTCATTCATATATATTGCACCGTGTTCGTAAAGGTCTAACTTCAATTTGTGCAATTGCGCTACTCTCACAATAAAGGTACAAAGGAAAGGCAGAACTTCTGCGTAAGCTGCAAGGCAACCTTTTATTTATTACCCACTTCAAAAACCCACCAAAAATCCAATTTTACACGGATTTTCATAAAATTCCCATTTTTGTGATCCCAGATACTTATGGTATAACATCCGATAACAATCTTAATTTTTTTGAAATATTCGAAATTTTTGGAGACTCCACTGCGTATGAAATATTCGAAAAAATTCAAATAAAAAAGAACTGAGATATTTATGTATCTACTGCGTATGATCACATAAAAATAATATTGTCACACAACAAACGAACGCCCCTTTCTAATATCCCGATTGACGGAAGGGGCCTATTTTCGAAATTCGTGTATATTTTGACCTCAATAATGAAGTATATCCACCAAGTTTCAAGTAAATACGTCAAGTTTTACAGCCAGTCCTATGAGACAGGGTACAGACGGAAATTACGGATACAGAAATTCCGAAAATATTTGATACAATTTTACTCCTGGGATTTGGTGGTCCTGGGATTTGATGGTGTTCACTTTGCAGAAATTCCGTCATCCCGTTGAATAATTGACGTATGAGGTTGGAGTGGAGCATTTAATCCACAAAGCAAATTGATCAACTTGTCAGTTATATGACTCAAGTGCGGCTTGCAAAATTCCATAGTTCAGCGTAAACAGATAAGGGGCCGTACATAAAGCATGTAGTCGATCTTCAGAAATTTGACACGGCCCCCTTCTGCGACCCATGTAGTCATAGTTAGCAAGGTAGGCATATGATACCTTGACCCATGAGTTGGATAACATCCTTTTTGGATAGTCCTTTATGAAGTCTAGATTACCTAATTGCCCAATCATTGAGGTGGAGTATATGTAGTTATAATCAGCCGAGAAATTGGAGCCGTTTGATTTTCGAGCCGTATATAACCCCACACTTTTCCATGAAGAGCATTCAGACGCTGAAATTCAGGCCACACCAAAGCTTAATCCTGCAACAAACTTAAAACTCCACTCGTGGATTGGATTGGATTACAGGGCAGTCACTTCTTTGTAAATGTCTGTTACGTAACCCAATATTCTGCAAGTAAGTTTAAATTATCAATTAGCATGTGCATATGGGAAATTAATACACATTTTGCACTAGCATACATAAATACATAAACAGCTAACAAGGGACACTCACGAGGTGTCGGTCGTGCTCAGAGTACCCACTATGTTTTTTAGAATCTACTATGACCCCAGATGAAGGATATATTCTTTTTTCGGTCTAAATTTTTATTTGGCGCCGTGCCGTGGCGCCAAACTTAAAAATTTGCATTTTCGACAAACTTCAAACTTCCATAACTATTGCAATTTCCGTGGGATTTTCATAAATTTGTGCTTAAAATGATCACAGATTTTGATGTTTTAAGAGAAAAATTAAAAATAACAAATTTTTAATTTTTGAGATATGTTTAAGATTTTTTTCGGCGGACAATAATCTTTAAGAAAATTGCGAAATTTTGCAAAGATTCAAAAGCTCAATTTTTTTAAAACTACATTTCACACCTCGTGAGTGTCCCTTGTAAGAAACATTATTTATTCCATTTCATACCAATATGTTCAAACTTCCGGGTCGGATATCGATAAGAATAATTAAATGAGTCGCCATTTTAAACCTTGCTCTGTTTCTACTTGTTTTTTTTGTAGTCAAAATGAACATTTTGCTTCTCGGAGAGACTGGCGCAGGCAAGTCAACATTTATAAATGGACTCGCCACCTACTTCACATATCCGACGATTGATGACGCAAAGAAAAATCCATTCAATCCAATCATCCCAATCAAATTCGAAGTAGCCGGAAACACTGTTGAGGTTGGTCTGGACAAAAATGAAAGCGGTGAAACTGGTAAATCATGCACACAGCAGCCACGAACTTATGTGATGGGGTGGAACGGTTTGGCAATTCGTATCCTGGACACCCCCGGCATTGGGGACACCCGTGGCGTCGAACAGGATCAAACCAATTTTACCATGATATTAGAGCATATCAAGGGTTATAACTATATCCATGGCATTTGCGTTTTTATAAACAGCTGTCAATCCCGGCTAACGCCATTCTTTCGTAGCTGCATTAAGCAATTACTCGCTCATTTGCATCAAGACGCGATTAATAATATTGTATTTGTGGTTACACATGGCGCACCATCATTTGATCCAGCCGTGTCAATTGGAACATTGAAGAGCATTTTGATGCAGGATCTGGCAGATGTTAGCATCGACATAAATGAGAAAACTGTGTACTGCGTGGATAACGATGCTGTCAAGTATTTGGCGCAGAAAGCTGCAAATATTCCATTTGCAAAAGAAGCTAAAGCTGCCAATTCAGCTGCAGACAGTTGGGAGGAAACATATGAACAAATCAACCGATTGTTCTCAGTGTTTCAAATGATGACACCGCACGATACTACAAAAACGTATAGTTTGAATCAGACTAGGGAAATATGCCTGGCATTAGGTGGTCCGTTAGCTGATTGTACAAAACGGGTTTTAGAAGCACAAGCGAATATATTGCAGAAGAAAGATGAGGTTTTAAAAGATTTGCAGGATGGCTTAGACTTGCAAGCAGCACAGACCACATCTACAACACTGTATAGTAACGTAACTGACAACGAGAATACGTGGAACGCTTGCCTCTCTGGGATATGCAGTATAACCGTACACGACCGCGGGATACAAATTTTCATACCCAGATACTGTTCATCTACAAAACGAAGTTTTATAGATGAGCTTACTCCATCATCAGTTTTCGAAATTGATGCAAGTCCATATGCTATTGCAGCATATATGGCTAGGACACTTGTACAATTTGTGGTTGTTATATGTGGTACCATTTGGTAACATACGAGAAAGTTGTAGAAGAGAGTATCAGCATTATTAACCCACATGTGCAAAAATTAGTGGCGGAAAAAGCATCAAAGGCCGAGATAAAAAAAGAGATAATTAAGGAGGTGGAGAGTGGAGTGAGAGGGCTTGAGAATGAGGTTCAGATTATGCGAAAACTGCAATTAACAGCAAGTCAATTTTTGAATCAAAATTCCCTGGTTCATACAGCTGATGCATATTTGGACAGATTATAACAACTTCAGGACGAGGAAAAGTCCAAAAATCCTACTTGTGATAGTCCAAGGTTTGAAAAACTAGAGAATCTTGTTCAGGAATATAAAAAACAAAAGGAAACTCTGGCGGCGAATTACAGCAATGCAGATAAGAAAACAATTTCTTTGGAGGAAATTAAATCCTCACTAGCTGAACTATATGAACTTCCATATCATGGAAAGATTATTAAGAAAGCGGTAGAGGAGAAGATGGTGAGCAATGTAAACGCTCTGGAGGAAATTTTCCATTCCCCCAGCCTAAAACGATATGGATTACCTGACAAACGAATAACAAGTCTCATAGATTTGTTCAAGCAGGTGGATGTGTCAAAGAACTTGGCCACAAAATTTCTGAAATGAGTTTAGCCGTTGATGGTTCACCCAATGAAATAGGACACGTTTATGAAATAAGAAATAAATATATATGCTAAATAATAAGAGCGTTAACGTACTTTAAGTAGGCATGCTCAATTACGCTTACATATTTCTCTTGGATAAGATTTTCATCCCTGATTTCTGAGTTATGCGGACCTGCATAGTAACGTAAGTTGACGTACATATTTACTTGAAGTCACGGCTTATGGAACCACCTTATCCGTCCGTCCAACTGTGAACATGATGTTCACCGTTTTGTTAATTTTTATTTACTTTATTTCTGTTTACTCTTGGAAGAAAATGTCAACATACTAACCTCGCTTCTTGCAAATTTAAAAATTATCGACTTGTATGTGAAATTAAATCTTCACCTAAAAAACCCACATATATGAACAGGTTTCAAAATCGCCATTCGAGTACATGGAAAATGGAAACTTGAGACACAAGAATTCAACTTCAAAACACACATGCAATGGAACGTTTAAGAGAATACAACTTCAACAGTTCAATACTTCGACAACACGAGGACTCTAATTTTCTTAAATTTTCAAACCGCAGGGTTTATTGTTTACACAATCACTGATTTTAACCTATTTTAGTTTGCGTGACGTAACGCAGGACTTTGACCCCCCCTCCCCTCTCGTCACATCTTGTAACGCAACTCTCAGACCCCTCCCCCCCCCCGTCCGGCGTTACATAATTTATGAACGGTCCCATTGAGTCAAAACAGAAACTATTATGAGTAGCTTGACATTTTTGCAATAATTAGTATAGTACAAAGTTAGGGAAGTAATGTCCACGTATTACGGAGTCAAAGAATCCCCGATTTTTAGACCTCCCACCCACCAACCCATTCCATATCATACTCATGTTAAGCTTAACACATACATACACAAAATAAACTACATAAAATGTACACACAATTTTGAAACTTCTAGATTTAAAACAAAGCAGGTCTTGGTAACCAAGATGACGGGTTTTTAAATAAATACTTAATCGAATCTCTATCAAGTGCCAAATTACATGCACACACAACATATGTACATAAATACTTACATAAATAAATACATGAGAGGTAACATAAGTCCGACCAATTCGTAGAAAAAATGATTTATAAGCGGAGGTTTTTTTATTTCTGACTCGGGCTATATGAAGTAAATGGGTTTGGTAGCTTTAATTTATTTGCTTTATTTTATTTATTTGGGTACTATAGTTGCCAGTCGAACTTCGGGCAATATGGGGAAGATCGATGGGGCGTCAATATTTTCGGACTGACTTCCTCAGAGAAGGAATGGATGAAAACTGCCCGTCCTGAACTCGTAGTGCGTGGACGAGGAGCCTCAACGTATTTGCACGTGGGAAAAGATGGCTCTGGAGCTGATTGTTGGAACGAATGTTGGGAAAGTGTTACCGCCTCGAAGAGGTAAATAAACCGCGGTAAACGAATATAACGAAGTAGCTTAAATCTCACTTCACCCAAACCACTCCCACTATATCGCCGAAACGCTCAATTTCATTGTATTTCATCTATTCATATCAATAATGCTCTGTATCTAATCATGATATGTCATTACACAAATTAATATGTCAAGTATTGTCAAAATTTTCGTCAAATATTCTAGAAAAATAAGTGTTTCAGTTTCTCTTTTTTACTTACATTTTGCAACTTTAAATTTACATAAAATTTATTTATTCCTACATGACTGCATGGAAACGTTATTTGACTTAAGGAACTTGATGTGGTAATGATTTTGGTCTGTATACCCTTTTAGCACAAATCGTGACGGCGTTCTATCTGTGGCTCTAGTGTATGTGCACTACTTGGAGGAAAGTGGCTACCAGGTAACCAAGTCGAATATTGACGTTATGGCGACGGACACGAGGTGGACATTTAATTTGCAGAAATAATTTAAATAATCTGCCACGGTTACATGTTCGTATCTTTGCATTCTAAAAGTAATAGTTCCCTACCTTTACACTAAGGATGCATAATAATACTATTATTTTACAAATATATTATTTATGTTTGTTAAAAGCATTTAATCATTGCGAATTATTTGAAAGATATGTACATACATACCTATTTATTACACGTATACATATATTACTTAATCCAATAAAAAATATCAAATACATATATAAGTACTTCGCCATTCGCCAGATTTCAAGATCCAACTTTTTGCTTAAAATGATGCTTACAATGTGTATTGATTAAAATAAAAAAAAGTGACTGTTAAAGTTACCTATATTGGTTACGACAGGTGAACGGAAAAACAAGTTTATTTGAGGTTAAAAAATTTCATGTATACAATTTGCACAATTTTTTCATTTTTCTTACAAGTCTTCCATTGCTATTAGGATAAACAACATCCGTTTGTTCATACTTCTAAAGCTAGAATGTTTATTTTAATGACATTTAATTTGACCAATTGCTAGAGAAACAAGTGCCGTGAGTGTATACATATGTACAGACTTTGCGAAAAGCTGGGATAAAGTTTATAAATGAACTGTATCAAACGAAATTTGGCAATAGGGCGAAACATGGAAATTAACTATGTGATCACACCCACGTGTGTGTAGGAGGTAATCCGATTGACCCCAAAAAGATGATTATGATCATAGATCCTCCCCATGGGGTCACATGTCTGATGCTGCAAACCGATTTCGATTATTTTGATCCGTTCACGCAGTAGCCTGATGACCGAAAGACAGACAGACGGACAAGGTCTTCCCATAAAGTAGCTGAAGCTAGTTAATACGCAAGAGTACGTAGGCGTATGCATGAGGCGATGGACATTCGTACCCGATTTTCTCCTTCATAGAGCAACATCTCGACTACAATCATGCTGAATTTGATATCATTTTTGCAAATTTTTAGCAAATTTTGTTGCCTAGAACTAATCAATTTTGGCCCCGTTTTTCAACCAGAATTGGAAAAATCTTTTCAAATTCCAATTCTAAGAACAAATTTTATTAACAGAGCAAACATCCCATCAATTTTTAACAGTGCAACAGCAAAGAGTAGAATTTGCAATTCATGTTCCGCCCAAGTTTCCAACTTCCCTGTAAATCTTTCCAATTTCTTCAACTTAATTAATACCCTAAAACGTTCAACATTCACAAAACAGCCCACATTTCGGATCTTTATCGATTTCCGTCTCACCCAAAGTATTACTCATTTCCTCCCTCAAACCCAAACGACGTCACCAATTGAGCCAAACATTTTAGCTCAATTTCAAAACAATACTTTACAAAGTGTCTACATTTTTAGGGCAAACAAATTCACAGAATTGTGTCGTCATGGATGCAATAAATTTTCAACCCGACAGGATTTTTTACCAACTTCGGACCGGTTCAACTTAGACAATGAATACGGTACTCTACTGCTCTATGGGCTTTTGGGAAGATATGGAACTGCTGAGAAGATTCGGGCGGACCGTGTCTGTAGCGATATGACATCCTCATTTGTTCTTAAGTTCAAAATATTTGCTGCCTACGAACACAAAATGTGTTTAGTATTTTATTTCATGATCAGAACAAACGTAACTTTGGTAAAATTTGACCCGACCAAGAAACACTTAGGTTTCTTGCATTACGTCAAATTTTACCCTACCCCGGGAAAAGACTTAGCCCTCAATATTTTTCCGCACGGGCAAAAACACGATGGCTTGTTTTACTCCGTGTTCGTCAATAAATCCGAGCTCGTGTCCGATATTAAGGTTACGAAACCTTTCGACGGTTACGTTTGGGTCACGTTTCTTTCGAGCGGTTTCGTGTTAGCGGTAACATTATGCAAATTACTTGAAAAATCGTGGACCCAACTGGGTTCAGTTATAATTTGGATATTTGCCATCGCGCTTGAACAGACGGATGAAATACTTGAAAACCAAGTAAGAAACAGGGTTAAATTGGGCTCCGTCATTATTGCGATGTGGTCAGGAATGATGATAGTATTAATGAATTCTTATACTAGCATATTTTACTCGTTTTTAATGTCAGATGTGACACTTAGTTTGCCAAGTAATTTAGGAGGCCTTCTTAATATTCCGAGTATTAAATTGTACACATTTCATAATCCCAACACTAATCTCTTTAGTATTTCGGTGGATAATCTATTTGACAAAGTGCCTCACTTAAAGGAAAAAAGGAGGCAAATTGAGACAATTCGTGCCATACTTGGTAACGGTTTATTTGGTAAGACGGTGTTTGCCCTGGCTTTTGAAGGACTTGTTCGTCGCATAAAAATTTCTGGGAGATTTATAACTTTTCAAAATTCTAAAAATTTGAGAGAATTTTCGAGATTGATTAAGCAAACGGGAAGATTTGTGGAAGTGAGGAATACTAATGGGCATCTCGTAAATTTTAGGTGTGGTTGGGTTTCATCGAGGGATCGAGTTGGCCAAGTTTTTGGAAATGTTTTAGTAGGGCTGCAAGAAGCCGGGATTTATTCGTATTGGATTAATCGATGGGAAAAGTTTATGCAAGCGGCGAGTATGCATGATGTTCGGGAGGGCATCCTAAAATATAATGGTGGCCGGAAGATAGTGCCGATTGGGAAAGATGTACCGTTCTCGTTGTGGCATTTGTGGATGGATTTTGCCCTACTTGGAGTAGGTTTTGGAGCTGCGTGTATTGCACAACTAATTGAGAAGATGTGGGAATTAGTTACTAAGTTTAAAAATATTGTAAGTATGTAAATAGCTTAATTTATAAGAAGCGTGTACTAAAGTCTAGGACACAATGTATGTACATATTTATGTATGTATAATCCTCGTATCTACGTATTCAGCAACATAGATAGGTAATAATAAATTTTGGTTAAAATAGTCTACGTTTGGTATTAATGATGGCAGTGTTGTAGTGCAATTGTAGATGAATTTGGGGTCAAAATTTGTGCAGTGTAATAGCGGTAAGTAGCTTGCGGATAAGACCCCAATATTTTGTGGATGATCACCTATTTATTAAGTTTTTGGTGTTGGATACTTTTTACAAATACAATACAAAAAAATTGAAATTCAGGAAGGATTGGCAAAAATATTTTAGTGGCTAAAAAATATTTGATCAAAATTTAACAACTTACAGGTTTTAATGGGTTTTTTGAGTTTCATTTTAGACTCGTTGGATTAAACGATCCATAAACTTGGATCATGCTAATATATAAAGTAATTAGTTTTGTTATTCGGTCAAGGTTTCGACATTACACGTCCTGCCGTGCCGATGACAAAGTTCGTCCTTGGAATTTGTTGGGGATGTTGTTTCCCAACTGGGTGTGGTTTTTGTGTGAGTTTGAAGTGTGGTGTTCGATCGTATGTATGACAATGTGGAGGTGAATACTTTTATGAGAGATTAGGGTGTAGTTGTAAACTGAGGCAAGTTGAGAATAATTAGGCAGAGACGATTGCACATTGTGGTTTAAGGTTACTTCAAGTCAGGATTTATGCAAATTAAATATTGTTACAAGTTTGATAAAAATGAGAAAGATTGACGCTACTCACAGCAGCTTAGGTAAAAGAATGACAGCGAGGTCGACTTCTCGACCAATATTTATAACCTTATTTGAGAGTGAATGACCAGTCAAATGCAAAAATAGAAACCTTGAGTTTGGGTTGAAAACTGGAAGAATACAGAGTACTGAGAAATTTGACGGCTAAAAACAATGTTAGAAACTGGTCAGATTCACAAAGGTAGGAGGCTTGCATGAAGTACAGATAATTACATTAGTTAAATGAATGCATGTGCGTCATAGTTAAGATATGTAAAAACTCGGAAGGAGACAAATTCAGATAAGGAAATAAACTGAACAGAAAAATCATGAGCATTATACAATTCTCTACAGAATTACTTTGTTTGGCAAAGTAGGTGTTACACTATTTCTTACATACCTTTCCCATTTTACCATAACCTTGAACAACATTCTTATTAACGCTATGATACAAGTGATGATACAATTGAGTATCGAAAGCTCGGAATAAACATATCTGCATTATTACAAGAACCATGTCGTCCGATAAATCAAATACAAATTGTTAACGTTAACTTCACACACAGAAATATGCTCGACAACGAAGCGTTGTACATATTATCGACGTAGTACAAGATTCTATTAATTTATCAAGAAAATTCAATCAAAACTTAGATAACATAGTGGATATCAATAGTAAATATCAATTATATTTTTCACTTAAATTCTTGTACATGTGACAAAAATTTGTGTAAAACTTTTTTGTGTTTTGTAGCCGTCAAGCGTAACAAGATTTTTGTTAATCAAGCTTGATGTGAATAAATAAATCAATAAATAGTGTTTTTACATGCCTGGAACAATTACAAAACAAATTACATCATAATCTAAGATTACTATGTACTCTTCGAAATTGATACCCAGCTTGGTAAAAAGCATCCTGATTTTAGCCACATTTCCCCATTTCTCAGCAAAAGACACCAATATCTTGGACCCTGTTGTCCGTCTCAACGACTACTTCGATAATGAAAATAACTGCGACATACAAGTTATTTATGACCATATGACATCCGAAAATTACGGCACTTGCACCCGTCCAGTGACAATATTTCGAAGTTTTTTCCACCCTCGCCGAAGCCGGAATTGGGTTCAAGCCACCGGAAACAGTGTCACTAGTCGCGTAGGTGTGTGTAAAATTAGTCTGTTATTTCCATCCTTCTTTAAAGGGATATCCGGTGATAATATAAAGTTACAAAAATGGTTTGCAATTGCATAGCACAGGGGTTTACTTATTCTCAGAGAAAATGTCAGAACGTTGGTAACGACCACGACAAATGTTTATATCGTAACGGTATTGGCTTCAACATATCAGAAAAGAATTCTTAACCATAATTATTGAAAAATTGTTTTCGCCTTTACATCCAGCAACACGACAGAAAGTTGTGTAGTTCAGGCTAAATTATTTAAAGTGAGGTGTCAATTATTTAAACCTACGTTGGATAATATTGTAATAAAATTTAAATCGTTTAAATCGTCATAGACACCATAGTACTTAATGGCGAAAACCCACCTACATATTTTTACGGGCCTTTGAGAAATTTTAAAAATGTTGGGCGTCCTTGCTTTACTGGTCGGAGTGTATTCACAATTGTTCATTTGTTGTCGAAATAATTGGCTATAGTACATAATGGATTCGTAACAGAATTATTTTGAGTGTGCAAATAATATTACCTCAACATTACAACTCTTTTGACACAAATTTTTGCATTGACCATTAGTGAAGAAATTTTATTGTATGTATGCACATGTTATAAATATTGTATAGGCCTATTATGCCAAGATAAGTTGGGTAGTTAATTGCTAACTGATTTACAAACAAGGATATAATTGAACAATTTGTAAACGTGTCAAAACATTACGTAGTAATAATCTGCGGCGACCACAAACATATTGCTCAACTGCAGTCGTCATAATTTCAATATACATACATACATATATCGGTAGTAAGTTAGTATTAACTGAAGAAGGAAATACAGTAGAATTTGGAAATAGGTTTACCACTAATCGGTAACAACTTTATTATCATATTTATTGAAAATTTAGCTACTACTGGTGACAAAGTTTATTACGGTATTATTTTTTATATCCAAAAATCACAATTACAATCATTACATGTACTAGTTTGACATGTGTTTTATATGATTAATTAAAATAAAACATTAAATTGTATTACAACAGTTGCTACAAATTCAAAATAAATAACAATTTCATTTGATGTTGAACTATTAAACTGTCAAACTTAAAATTAAATTTCTCACTAAATATTACCGCATTTGAAACATTTGAAACCATATTTCTGGACTAAACAATATCTAGACTATGAATTCATAAATTTCTCACACGCTGCCAACATCAAGATAATACCAAAACTTGCTTTCTTCCCCATTCTCACCACAATAATTTCCTTCCCCATCTGCAAAATAACCCATCTCCGCCTGATATTTTACATCTACATCTTCTACATCTTTATTGTCTACATCTTTTAAAACCTTTGAAGTTGTAAATTTCCCAGGGTTAGAAATGCTGTGAATAAAAAACTTGTGAGCAAAGTTATGGCTTCCAGCAGCTATGTTAGGTTTCGAGCCTGGCTGATTTTTCCCAAAATTCGGGTAAAAATCCACCGTTCCATGGGGATTTTTACTACCATACAATTCACAGGTATGAATACAATCGACGATTGGAGCACACCTGTAGTTCATAAGAGGATTCCTCTCAAAGCCCGGCCGTGCAGGGTCAAGTCCGGTTACCCGGGAAAAAGGTAAATTATTTTTCATGCAAATTTCAGCCGTTTTTCCGATTAAGTGAGCACCTAAACTATGTCCAATTCCGTAAATTTTATTCTCGTCCTTGTCACTTTTACAAAGCTTTAGTAAAATAGTTGCCAGCCACTCGGCAGTTGGGATGACATTGCTGGCGGCCTGAGGGTAATTCGTTAACCCTAATGAGGACCCTGGACTCCAATCAAGGGCACAAATAACGCGATCATTATTATCCAGGCTAAATACCTTGTCCTTAACTTCATCCGACCATGCGTCAGGTCCGCTTTCAAAACCGTGTACTAAAACCAACATTCTGCCCTGATTTCGAAAAGAATCGTGAACTTTTTGAAGGAATTTTGAAGGAATTTCTTGATCATATACAATTTCATGAGCGGTCAAAGTAACGAATTTATCTGCATGGTAGCCAGTTTTTATATAAGTTATAAGCTTTGGATTAATTTGTTTGATTTTATAAGGTTTTGGAGGGGCTAAAGTTAAATTTGAAAAAATATCTACAAGTTGGGCGGAAGGGTTTGACGAATTGTAAAAAATTTCCCCACATTTGGCTGGAGGTTGTGCAATAAATTTAATGTTTTTTTCTGGTAAATGGGCTTCAATTTTAGATTTGCGTTTACTAACTGGTGGCTTTTCTCCTGATGAATGTGGATCATCTATACGTTTCGAATTTTTTGTCGCTTTCGAGTGCTGAGGTTCAGACTCAACTTGCTTTACCGTGGCGTCAACAGGGTGAATTTCATCCTGGAAAATTTTCACGTCATTCGAAACTACACTTGCTTCTTTCGAGTCCTGCATTTTAGCCAAGGTGCTGTCAGGTTTATCAGTGTTAATCTGCTTTTTCTCCTCTAATACATTTCTATCGGAAGGGTTTAACATCTTCTGGAGTATACAGACCGTCGCTGATTGTACAGCTATGTTCGAAACATATGTTGATAATGGTAGTATAACCTGGTCCAAACATAATTCGTGCATCATGTTACCCAGAACAGAACAAAGTTCTTTTACAAATAAACTAATCTTGTCAACAGTATAACTTCCTGCTGCTGCATCTAACTGTTTCCTAAATTCTTCCATTTTCTCATATTTCCGACTCTCAACAAGTTCTTGAGCCTCGTTCCATTTTAAGGCTTTACAGGTCAAGTATACTTTATTTGAATAGCGTGCATGGTAAAGTTCCAGATTTTTTATTATTACGTCATTCTCAATCCTCGCAATAAACGTGTACATGTCTACACCACCGAAAACCAAATGTAACGCTGTAAGCACAAGTTGGATTACGTTATCCCATTTATTACCTAAGTGTATCTGCGTATATACATTTGATAATATTGGAGCAAAAAACTGGTGTACCAATTTCCCTATGGGACTGTATCTAATGTTATGCGATTCCCCGATTAATGTTTGGAAAAAATTGTGTAAGTTATTTTCCTCGAAAACAGCGTCAATTGCGTAAATTCGACTTAGACGTTCCGAAAACCAAGGTTCACTTAATATTTGTGTTAGTCTTGTGTCAAGATTGGTGAAAATGTGGTGGTCAAATTTTGAAACAATGAATTTTGATGCAAGTTCACTGACCGAATTTGTAATTAAAGGTGCACTTGCAGTCAGAACCATCTTCCATAACTCGGGTGGTGCTTTAGCGCAACCAATTGAGAGTTTTGCTGCCCAACTTGCTTTAACGAGGTTACAAGTTCCATAAAGTACGATTGCAGCCCCCTTGCTGATAGCGTAATTGGACCAATTCATCTCTTCCCTTAAGTAAAGGGAATTGTACACGAGTTTTTTTAGATCGAATAATCCTTCAGTTAATAACAACGTTTGACGAAAACAAATCCCGGCTCCGATTTGTGCAATTGCAAAGGAGCCAAGAGCACACGAATTAAGAACTTGAATAGGACCTTCTTCGTAAACTCTGAAGAAGTGACTCAAACCTCGATATTTGTATTCTTGGATTATTTGCTTGGGAAAGGTGTACGAGCCGATATATAGTTGCTCTAATTTTAAGAATTCTTTCACGTAAATTTCCTTTTGTTCCAAGTTAACCCTACCAATTATTAGTTCTAATGAATGGTAAGAATCCGTTTGTAGAATTAGACAAAATTCTGCGTTGTTTTCTCGTAAAAATTTGATATAAGTGAGACACTTTTTAGAATCAATTTCACAAATTTTTAAAGTACAGTTTCTACAGGATAAGGCTTCCAGCCAAGCAACATTCGTTTCACGGGTTAAATCTACTTGAAATTCAACTTTTATTTTCTCCTCACTATTTGCCTCTGCAAAACTAAGTAATTCTGTCAGGTCAGAACTTTTAATGAAATAGGACTGATAGTCTTGGTAGGATTTAAGTGTCCCATTTCTCCATAAAGAAGATTGCAATGTTTGTCCCCTCCAAACATTACTGTTTGAGTCATTTGTCGATCCTTCAATTTCTAACGAGAGCACTGTAATATTGTTATGCGAAAGAATCTTATCCGCATCGCTGAAACACATCGGTTCCGTAATAAACTTGGTTTTACAACCGGAAATTGCGTCTCGAATATCTGCACTGGTTTCAATGTCAATATCAAAAGATGCATTTAAGGGTTGCTGGGAAATTGTAGTTATTGCCTTTGAAACACTTATCTTATCATGTAATTTCGGATTATCTATATTTCGTACGACTAGTTTTAATTTGGTGTGACTTGATTCAGCCTTCAAAATTTTTGAAGCCTCATTTTTACCAAGGTTTGAGAAAAACTTGTAACATTGCAATAACTTAAGGGCGTTCTTAACAGATATGTTTTCCAAACCAAGAGAAATTTTATCAGCACCAGAATTATTAATTGTATCGACATATTGGTCATACGTCCAACGTAGATCAGAATGTGCAGTTAGATCGCTGAATGAAATTAAATAATTCGAGAACTCCTCTAATTCTATAGCATCCTGTTTGTGCAATCCCGGGCAAATGTCGGGGGGACATTGGTATCCTGTCAATGTTGAGAAGTCCCGCCTTCTTATATCCTGCAACGCTAATGTCCCCCCGATGACGTCATCTTCCGCCGCCACTGGCAATCCCCTATGTAGTTTTGTAATATGGACAAATTTTCTATTTTTTTCGTCAAACGCACTGACATTAAAAAGTCTTAAACTCTTTTGAATTATTTCTCTAGCCGAGTAAATTTCCGTTAAGCATTTCCCAACCAATTCTTCCCTTGTGCGATATTTATCTGACAAATTTGACCCTATTTTTCCTTCTGAGATGGAACGACATTGTGACACGTGAAGGTATTCGTTCGTTGTATATTTGCTGCAAAGATTCAAATATTTTAGAGCTAGGATTTTGTAATTGTCTCGATTATCATCATATCCGTAAAATGCTGAATCCACGGATCGAGTTTGAATCGCTATATGTGCCAAACCCAGGTAGGCCGGAGCTGCAAAATGTCTTTCTGACTGCGAAACAATATTTAGCGCACAGGTGTAAGATGTAACGGCTCTAATTGTGTAATTCTTAAACCATCCGCTTTCATATAAATATGCATTGCCGACTTGAATGTGATGGAAAATATTAGGAATTTCTGAAATTGGATTTCTTATATAGGAATTTAAAACTTGCAAAAGATTTTTAAACTTTGAATCAATTTCTTCTGCGGGATAAGCTTCATTTTCAATTTCGTGTAAAAACAAACCCCACTGTGTCTCAATGGTGGAGAAAATGATTGGAATTTCTACGTCCCGGGATTGTTTACGAGATTTGTATAGCTTATAGCTATAGTTTATTTCATCCCGCATTTGTCTTAAGTTTTTACAATAATTCTCAAACATATTATCCGCCGCAATTTGGAGTGGAAGTCGGGCGTAGTAATTATCTAAATAATTTGTGCCCCCCTGTCCTGAATTGTTCACTATTAAATGTAACACTTTTTGCGTACTACCAAGCCCACCTTTCCTTCCTGTTCGACCCTCCACCTGCAACTCACCCCGGGAAATATCTTTCGGTTCAAATGTTAAGATAACATGCATTCCTCCAAAAGCTTCTAAATCATTGGCACAAATATCCGTCCCTCTTGCGGCCACAATTGTGGCAACGATAATTTGATTTGATGTAATTTTCTTAACTTGGTACTGCTCGCTTTTGTCGTTTCGAGTGTAAATTTTCATGTCTGGAGGATGTCTACATTTACTGAAATGATTTCGCAATTCTGCAAACATTTCTTGTGCGGCTGATATGCTTTTGCAAATGATTAAAATACCCCGATCGCATTTTAGCTGTAATTTGCAAGACTTTTTAATGAAATTACTCCATTCTTTTTTACCTTAGGTCTTAGTTTCCAACTTTTTTCTCCGGTTTTTATAAGGTTCTGGAACTTTTATGGAATCAATGCCGTAAACAGTTTTCATAAAAGATTGCGTTTCTGTGCCACCTATCGTACCCGTGTAACCGGTTATGTTATCGCCATATTTCTTAAGACAGGCCCGCACTGAGAGGAAATTACTCGGTAAACTTTCCGCATCTAGATTAACTTTGTTATCAATTTGTAAAAATTGTTGCAATCCATTCCCCCATTGCGACATGTTACGGATATCGCCAGTATTTAGGTAATCTACGGGAATCACTTTATCTTCCTCGACTACGTAATCACGTAAGTTTTTAAAAGAACTAGCAGCCATGCAAGACTCCACCCAGTTTGGGATTTGTCTTTTAACAAAGGGTTTAAAATATTCGGGGATGACGAACCTCTCATTTTCACCACAGATGCCAGCTTCGGCTATTTCATTCAGGAGCAAACACCTTAAATATTGGTCTAGATAATTTTTCAACCAATCAACTACGTCTGGAAGTAGGATGCCAATTTCTTGTATATCTCCGGATCCAGCAGTTCTTAAAAAAAGTTCCCAATCAGGTACACAAACTTGGCCATTATTTACTAATAAACATTTTTCATCATTCTTAACCAGGTAGAATCCTTCCTTAATACGATAATAGTCGTCTTTGCATTTAAAACACATTTTTAGCAGATACAAAAACTTTTCCCAAAGGAGAAAGTACACCGTTTTGAATAAATCCATTCCTGGCGTGACAGCAGAAAGTTTTGCGGTTGTTAAAAACTCATCGATCAGAAGGTTATCAGCTTCGTCAAGGATTACCTTTTCTCCTACTCTGTTTCCCAAAGTGTCAAGGAAAAAATATTTGTGTCTTATGAAATCAAAGCAAAATTGGGAGACAGTTCCGTAGACGATGTCAATTTGTTTTTTGTTTTTTATGTAACAGTTTTTTGTTCCGGACGAGTAAGGAAAACTATCCACGTTGCAGCTAACAGTTATGTCAAGGATTTCAAGAAACTTCTCATGGAGTCTCATATCTCTTTGAGCTAGTTCCAGGCTTGACGTATAAATGTCTACGGTGCGCATGTGCAAAGCATGAAATGCTGCGACACAACTAATTATTGCAGTTTTGCCGGCTCCTGTAGCTATTTCGTAAATATTTTTAGTGTTGGAATTTAAAATGGAAATTAAGACCGAAAATGTTTGATGTATGGTGAGAGAAATTCCTTCAGAAATTTTTTTAGCGTGGTAAATAACGGATAAAATTTCAGTAATTGAACAGTTGTGATACTCATGACAATGATTTCTAAAATCTGTAGCCCAGGAGTTAACCTGGTTTTCTGTCCAATCTGTAATGAGGCCAAATTCAGGTTTCAAGCTTGAAGTCATATTTTGGTCTAGAATTTTGTTTAATTTTTTTTTAACAAGATTTTTTAAAAGTTGATTTTGTCCTGCGACATTTCCTTCCAAGTGTTTTGGTTTATTTTTCGAATCTGCAAAATATTCTTCGACGATTTTTTGCCCAGATTTCACTTGTACACCATCGTCTCTCCAAATCATTTTATTCGCATGTGCAACCCAAGTCTCAGATTTTCTGTTTTTTAAATCATTCGCAAGCGAAACAATATTTTTATACTTGTAGAAAGCTATCAACTCAATCACGTTTCTAAGTGCTTTTGCTTCCCAATTTGTTTTTGGGGTTAAGATTGAAATAAATTGCGAAAGTTGTCTAAAATCAAAGCCATCGCTAATTATCTCAAGGAGTGAACTTCTGTATATATCTGCATATTCAATATTCTCCACCCTACTCAAAATCCTCTCCGTTTTTAAAAGGTTGTAAAATTCCTGGATGGTTTTGCTCTCAGTTAAAATCTTAATGTACACGTCTGGCTGTATTTTGAAAACATGGATGAAATTAACAATTTCGTTTAACATTGAAATTGAAGATCTTTCCTCCGCTGTAATTGAACATAAATTGATTGCGTGTAAAAAATCTGGGAAAATTTCTTGCAACTTGAAAGCAAGTTCTTCTTGTGAAGTAGTACACTCATTGTTTCCACTTAATTTCTTTACAAAAGCAAGCCACATGCAGGAAACAATTTTTTGATTAATTTGACCTTTGTTATCAGAAAATGTAAGAAAATGGGAAATTTCTGCCTGAACTTCTGGAAACATTGAAATCACGGTTAAATAAGTAAAAATTATGTCGAACCCCAGCCTATGTTTCTTTTCGAAATAAAATAAATCTGGAAGAAATTCTGCCACGTCGACATAATCCTTAACGGAGGTCCAAATTTCTACGAGTTTTTCAGACCGAGTACCATCCATCTCTGCGAGATGGAGTGCAAATAAGTTAAAAACTGCGGTAACTTCTTCTTGTGTGATGTCTTGCTTGCAAACACATTTGAAGATCAGCTTCCAAACCGAGTTTTCATTTACCTTTATCATCACATCGTTTTCTAAGTTGTTTTTGTAAAATTTTGTAAAATTTATTTTTTCGCATAAATTGTTTTGTCGGGTAAAAAAGGATTTTGCATTATCTGGTAATACCAAACCATTCTTTTCCGCTTCTAGTATACATTCAACCGTTTCCAGAGGGCATTGAGACTTGCGGCTTTTAACCATTATTTTTTTAAGTACCTGGTCTACTTTAAGACAAAAGTTTTCTCTAATCATGAATTTGTAGCAAAGCAGCAGAGATTTTGTAATTTGCACTTTTTCGTTAAAAAAGAAATCCTCAATTGTTTTTTCGACCTCCGTATTTACACGGCACCTTTTTAGGATGATGAGATAAGATAAAATCTGCGATACAAGTTGAGGATGGTGACATTTTTGGCTTAATACTTTACTTAAATCGACTTGGCAAAACTTGTCATTATAATTTCCTGCTTTTAATCTTTCTAAAATCTGTTGTAATTCAGATTCGCAAACCAAATTGTTTGGTGACTGATCGGAAAATCGTTCCCCAGACGAGACTTTATCTTCTTTAATATTAATATGAGGCGAAATATTAATAATACATTTGTCACACTGGGTAAAAAAATTATTTCTTAAATCTGGGTCAATTTCATAATTGTAAATTGTGTCAAGTAATTCATTGGGTAGGGCACAACCGTAAAAAATCATTTTTTGCGTTATCGCAAACACCAATGCATTTATTGGTACACTAGCATCAACACAACAAGATATTATACGCTGCCACTCAAATTCAGGAATTGGCTCGGTATTGAATTCAATTCCATCTAATAATGACTGCAAGTCATCTCTCGGGGTTTTGGAGATGTCGAAAATTTTAGAAACATTTTGATGACAGGACATTAAGTTTGAAGGGATCCTGGGATCTACGATTTTATATTTGTCATATATTTTAATGATGCCAAATTTTGTCAAATGGTTAACGGAAGTATCGCTAAATATTTGATAAAGTCGATCAACAATTTCTTTTCGTAAAACTATTCCTTTCTTACATAGAAGTTCAACACTATGAACAAAACCGTTTGAAAATTCAGTTGGGTTTTGCAATTTTAGCAAAAAATCGATCACCTTTTTACTGTCAATCAGATCCGTAAATTCGCAAATATTTTCAAGATATGCAAAAATTAGGAACAAATTTTCAGGTGCGCAATCAAATAGGTAGGAAAGCACTTCATTCGACACTGAGGTTCGCGTCTGAATAGAATTTACAAGAAGAAATTGGGCAATGTGATTTTTTTGTTGCTCAGCACAGTCTGAAAAATAATTTGCAAAATTGTTACATGTCTTCTCTGAAAATTGATAATTGGTGTGCTCAACTATCTCTGTAAATAAGTCTGCCATACAATCCACATTGTCAGGATTAATTGTTGTTTCTAAAGCTGCAATAATCTTGACAGGAAATTTTTGCGAATTCTTCGCAATTTTGTTTAAAATTTGATACCATTTGATTTTTTTTGAAGGTGATTGCCTTTCTAAAATGGGACAAATTGAAGTAAAAAAGTACAAAGTCACGGAATAGCCTGATTCAATTGATTGCATTAAAAAGTCTAAGCAACCGTTCGATTCTGTGTCATACTTCGCATCTCTAAGAATATCAACTGCGCGATCCATCTCCACTGACAAAAATATATTGTCCGGGAGATGTTGGTTCTCATTAATTTTACAGAGGATTTCATGCAATTCATAAACAGCATAAGGACAACCCTCCATAAATCGGAAATTATGAATGCCATATACACATTCCTCAGAAAGAACAACTTTGTTCTGCACAACTTTGTGCATTACGGATAAAACTACATCTTGCAAATCTTTATCACTTGATAAGAAATTGGTTTCAATAAATGAAACAATTTTCCTTGATAATGGCACAAATTGCTTTTGTCTATGGTATTCGTGTACAAGTTCAAGTGATATTTTTCTCAAGTCTAGTAGCGGACTTGACAATCCGATTTCAATTAAGGGAAAATGGGTTTCTGAAAATGTCGAGTTTATTTTATTTTCCAAGTTGAAGATCACCGATGTTTTAAGGATTTGAATGATTTTAAAAACAACATCAGTCGTGGAAACATAGTTTAGCAAATCGGGTAAGAATTGAAATATGGATTCCGGAATGTTTTCTTGACTTTGTAACAAGTCTAGGAAAATATGGATCAATTCTATCCTAATTTCATTATGACAGTCTGCACGGGTTATGAAGGATTGCAATTTCAAGTATATTAATTTATCAAGCGGTGCATTTGCCATAAGTACGATTTGTTTGATGGACCTAGACAGCAAAATTTTAGAATCCAAATGTTCCCGACCTTTACTGGAAACAAATTTTAATATAGACTCGACATGATCTATGGTGAGCCCAACGTTAATCCGTTGATTTTCGCTTGCGTCCTCGTATGCTTTCCCTGATTGGCAAATAACAGTTGCGGCCAGTAAGGATAGTGACATGCTTAGAGTTACGGTATCAGAAGTATTTTGAATATGGCGCGTATTGTTTTTTTGAACTACTCTATCACTAGTAAGGAAAGGAATTAAAGAAGACAAATTCGGAATGATTTCATTTTTCCTGACATATGCCAAATAGACCAAAAGTTTTGACGAAAAGAGTTCTTTTTCTCGTGTTACAGACCGTACAAGATGGTCAAGACCAGTATTAGTTGTAGGTTGTTGTTGGTCAATTATTAATATTATAAAAATATTTAGCAATTCTGATAGCTCAACATCTTCAGTTTGTTTAGTCATGTTCATTAAATTTTCTGGCCAAACCGAATATAATTTAGGCGATTGCTTATTTTCAAGAAAAGATATTAAAGCTCTTGCCGAAATTCTTCGTAGCTGGATGTGAAAACTTAGTGAGTGTAGGCACTTAATAATTTCGCTAATTTTACTATTGACAATGTCATTCCTTTCATTCCTAACAATTTTTAGGAAGGCTTCCTCCAATTTTCCCGACTCAAAACCGTTCACAACATTATGGCTGAAGCAAGTGATGACTGCGTGACATAAATATTCGGGACTAATGGAATCGTGTTCTAGCAAAAGGTAAGCATAGTCTCCAATAATTTCGTGGTCATCGATTACTAATCCTTTCAATATATTTAAATTCTTGTCCGTCCATTCAATTTTATCATGGGCGTGATAATGTTTAATTATTTTGAGACATGGAGCTTGACAATATTCATTATTTAAAGCAGCAAAAAGTACATCTATTGTTTCAGTAGGAAAAAGCTGCTTTTTTGAAGCAACAGTTAGAGTTTGTAATGCTATTTGTGGATTCAAAGGAGATAATAAATTTCCAGATACCGAACGTTTCAGACACTGTTCTACCTCCTGAAGCTCAGATAAATTTAGGCAGCGAGTTTCAGCCCGTTGTAAGAGAATGCTTGGCATAAGAATTTGAGTAAAAACTTTATCAAATAGACCCCTCCCACTTCCCGTTGTGGGTTCTAATGGGGGAGCCGACTCCAATTGTGAATTACTACTTTCCACGTGATAGAAAATGTCTTTGTAATCCATTTCTGCTAAAAGAGCAGTATCAACTTGTGTTTTTTCCTCCTCGTATTGAAAAACTTGCAATGTGCTTTGTGGAAATTTAGCTGAAGTAACGTAATCATCGAAATCGACGATAAACTCGCTACTATCAATGGCTCCAATGAATTTCAGCAATTCTTGTTTTGTGACATTAGAAATGTTTAAATTTTGGATTTCCTCAACCGTCAAATTTGAAGGACGTTCTAAAGCTTTTAAAAAGTCTAAATAGCCCTTTACTAATTCTGAAAGCACTTTCTGTACGGCAGGCCGTAGAGAGGAGGATAATAACAGTTTTTCTAAAAGTCTAATCTTTTCTGCTAACACGGAATTCTCCGTGTCATTAAATTTAGTGTCCAAATGTTTTACGTTATAGTTTAAAGCGGACAAAATTTGTAGCAAAGTAGGTATGTTCTCATCGTACTCTTCATAGGTAATTGTACTAATTACTGTTTCTAGCATGGAAATAAATACTTCAAAAGGAACGCCAAATAACCGAGATATTCGAATGAGAGTTTTAAAATTAGTCGTGATGAACTGGACCTGACTCATTTTTGAGGCGCGAAGATTTTCAAAGATATCCTGAAGTCTGCTCCGGGCCTGCGATCCGTTGTATGATTTGGATAGAGAAAAAATTTCCCGCGAGAGAGGATCCATGGTGATTGTTGATAAGGAAACTTGACACTGGTTACTTCGGTTGGGCCTAAAATACAAATAATCCAGATTTCATAAGAGGTTTACTAAAAAATATCAAAATCAGTGGCCGTAGGAGCGGTGAGGATATTTTCAATGTAGGATATGTTTGGTCTAGATCAGGATTAGAATATTATAGGAACCTCGAAAACCGAGACTAAATGTCCACACAGAGTGTGTTATCAGTGTTCCGCGGATACTGATTGGTTTATTTTGTGTACAGCCAAAATAAAAATAAAAATAAAGAATATGATCTTGATGCATTTCTAACATACGTTTATATGTAGGTTCCTTTTCTTTCAAGGTCACGAACAAGTTCCGTTTTCTGTACACTCTAAACAAAGTTGTAGAAAATTTCTACAAGGTTGTGTAAAATTTTGTCCAAGGTTGAGTAAAAAAGAGGATGACACAACCGTTGGTTAAATTTTACTCAACTTCGTTGAGTAACTTTTGCTCAGCAAGTTGTGGAATTTTTACTCAGCAAGTTGTGGAATTTTTACTCAGCAAGTTGTGGAATTTTAACTCAACAAGTTGTTGAATTTTTACTCAACTTGCAGTTAAAAAATCATCAATAAGTGATTAAAATTTACTCTTTGGTTGACCAAAGGTTGCTTTTTATGCTGATTAAAATACATTCTTTACCTTCTTAAAATTCATTATTTATTATTATTGTACTCGTTTTACATTTTATAAATTCTACATAAGTACAAAACAATTAATTATCATAAAGATACTGGGATATTACTTCCAAATACTAATTATGTACATACATACATACATACATACATACAAGTATAATTTTTAGAGATAATCTGACGAAGCCCTTATCTATTTACTAACCTCTCTGGTTGTAATTAATTTAAATGTGTGGGCAACTGATGAAATCATTTCAGCAACCGTGTTCTTATGGTAAACCAGCGGCACCGTCCAGCAAATTAAAAAAACTGTCGTCGTCATCGTTCCCTGCAAAAAAAAATAAGCACAAATAAATATTTTATTTTATAACTATAGTTAAAAAAATAAATAAAAATCACCTTACCTTTTAACTTATCTGCAGATTGGACTCCACCGGTTATTTTAAGAGATTTTTCAAGTCGTCGGGCCATTTTAAATATTGACTAATGATGATCGAATAAATTTACTGCTGCTTCTTTTTAAACTTGCTGTAACCAACTGACAGCGTTCGTGTGGCTGATAAATAGGCGAAGTTGATTTTACTCAACGCGTTGAGTAAAAATTAATCAACGTGTTGAGTAAAAGTTAGTCAACTTGTTGTGCATTTATCGCCCAACATTGATTAATTTTATATTTAATCAGAAAAAAAGTCAAATTTTGTTCAATGTTGAGTAAAACTTGCTTTACACAACTTTAATGTGTAAATTTTACGCTTTAGAAGTATAAATTTTGTCCAACGTTGACAAAAATTTGATCAACTTCATTTTACTCAACCAGCTTTGCTCAACTTTGTTTAGAGTGTATCATTTACAAAGTCGAGTATTGGTTTTCTATCTTCACTCCTGAAATTTTTATAAAATTTGCATCTTAAACTTATTATATACAAATTTATGAACCATGGTCAGTTTCAAATATTTGCAAGTAATTCCTGATATATTAATATTAATCAAAAATATTACCAAAAAAATTCTGAAATAGCAAATTTATCCCACTTTAGTAAGACATTAACCTTTGAGCACAAATGCATACTCCGAAATACTTCATTTAGTTATCAAAAAAGGTAAATGTTTTACAACCTGTTTACTTGAAAAACATTAGGTGCTTATGTGAGCCAGTGCTTGTATTAGTTCATGAGTACACTCCTCTTATAAACTCATAAACATTCAAATTTACCAAATGAGTCAGTTGGTCTGAACATATGGCAATTTACAATACGTTCATATTGACTTTTCCTGGCTTATGAGAATTATCATTGAGCTGGATGGTGTTTTAGTTTGCACATCACACCACTCTACAAATAAAGAATTAGCATTATGATTCAATATGCTGTCCTGTCCATGTCCAAATGCGATTTAGACTGGCATTTTCTTATAACCTGTCAAGTGGCAAATGTGGATAATTCATTTGTATAAAAACAAGTTTATAGATGGATTGATTGATTGATTGATTGATTGATTGATTGATTGATTAAGCTTTATTCAAGTGTCTACCAAGTTCACAGTAACAACAATAAACACAGGATTGATGTTCGATTTGAGGGACAGCAGATTTGTGCACTTTAATATTATGAAGTACATACTTCTTCACGATAAAATCACTCTCGAGGTTCGGTTAGGTTAAGATGCTATGTACATATGTATTATGTTCATAATTTTGTACATATTACGAGACGTGAGATACGAGACGTATGTACATACATACAGTCTATTAATCCACCTATAAAATTTTCACCATAAATGAATTATCTACATTTGCCACTTGACAAGTGATAAGAAAATGTCAGTCTAAATCCCATTTGGACATGGACAGAATAGCATGTTGAATCCTACATAATGTTAATTCTTTATTAAGTAGCTTCAGCTACTTTATGTGAAGACTTTGTCCGTCTGTCTGTCTGTCTGTCTGTCTGTCTGTCTGTCTGTCTGTCTGTCCGTCCGTCCGTCAGCAGGATAACGAGAGAACGGATAAAGACAATCGAAATCGGTTTTTGCCATCATACATAAGACCCCAGGGGGAGGATCCTATCAACTTTTGGGTGCAACCGGACCACCCCCCCCCCCTGATTTTTAGTGCAATTTAATCTATGGACGAAATTGAGCTAAATTAAGTGTTCCCGAGTTGTCCCACACCCCCTCGTCGCCAGGGGGTGTGGTCGGAGCAAAATGAGATTTTTACAAAAAATTAGTCTATAGATGAAATAGAGTGAAATTAAGTGTTCCCGAGTTGTGCCACACCCCCTCGTCGCCAGGGGGTGTGGTCGGGGCAAAATGAGATTTTTTCAAAAAATTAATCTATAGATGAAAAAGAGTGAAATTAAGTGTTCCCGAGTTGTGGTGGGAGTGGTTGAGATGAAGTACGTCTGAAGCTACTTCCGTATGTGCGTTTGCGACGGTTTATTTGTATGTCAAAAATCCATAACACCAACTAGCTCATTGATAATTCTCATGAGCCAGGAAAAGTCAATGCAAATATATTGACTAGGGTAAATTGATTCGTGAAAGAAATTCGAAAATTTTACCTAGGATATCATTGCGAATCTGGATTCTAGGATGAATCACGTACATATGTACCTTGTATCCTGAAGGGTTGTAATTCTACAGATTTCGGATAGCGAGGGGATAATTCCACTTTGTGGAAGCCCTCTGTGATTAGAGGGGGTGATTATCGTCTTGGAGAAGATTAAGCCAGTTCAAACCAAGTTTAATCCCTACATACACAATACTAACTAATTACAATTACAAATTAATTAAGTAAAATTGCGATAAAAATGTTGAATTTCTACCTTTAATTGTTCATTCCTAGGTATGATAAATGTTTTAAAATGATTTAGAGAGGGTGGTGTATTGAAAACTTGTGAGTGTGTGGAAAATTGTGACCGTTGAGCAGGATGGAGAGAGAATGATACGTTACTCCTGGCAACGAATGGAAGTGTGATGGCCTCAATAAAAGAGTTGAACTATGTACGAGAGATTGCTTAAGGGGTTTGGAGTGAAGAGATGATGCCAATGAGTCATTGGCAATAACTCATCCAGTCATTCCCTTGTACATATTATCTCCTTATACAGGATGGGATTTAGTGTTAACTGAATTTGCAAATTTACATACTCCAGACTCGTTGTGTGTGGAGGATTAGGATGTAAAACATGCTTGTTGAAAAAATAACCTGATAAGTAAGTTTGGATTAAGTGGTACATGTAAATAGATATGATAAAAAAAATGTCTTTCCAACGGCCCATTCGTATCCTTGCTAAATAAATTTCCTCTGTCGCAAAAACATCAGGGGGTGGTCCTAGACCCCCAAATATATATATATGTATATTCTTAATCCACTTGCCGAGAGCTTTCTAACGATACCATACTCATGTGGTGACGTGAGAGCCCAAATTTTCATCCAAATTTTTTGAAATTTTTTCCTCGAATTTCCAAAAACGCTCGATTCGGATTGTAGAGAAAAAAATTAGGAATCCTTTGGTGAAAGTGGCATTTCCATATCTTTTTCCATGACAGAGAAATTCATATCCCCGTTTGCAGTTTTTGCTACTTTGGGCCCCTCCCCCTGGGGAAAGGGGCGGAGTTGAACCAAATTATTGGTACCGCTGCACTCACAAAAATCACCTATACAAACTGCAAATCTTATATAGCAAAATCAATTTTTTTGTCTTTCGAAATTCCGGTTTACATTATTGCTACTCTATAATATTAGTAAGTTTACTAAATAATGAGAATAAATATTTTGACCAAACTACTGTGTGGTGTGTTAGCGATTTTGAAATTAATTGTGGTGGAATTCTTGTTATTGTCACGTTAATTTCAGTTTGAGTAGAAAACTAATTTTAATATGGATTCATTTTTGACATACATATTGCGGCAAAAGATGGGAATAAAAATTAAATGATTCCTTGATGTTCATAATTTGCATTTAGGTTCGGTATAAAAATGTGTTCATTTTGTACAATATAAACGTTTAAGTAATTGAAAACCTCTGCATATGTATGTATGTATTGACACAGAGATAAGATAAGACTTACATATCCCGATCAACAAAAATTATTACTTTTGCGTCAAAGTAACGCATCCATGGTGAAAATTTTTAACAAACAAAAAAAGGCGTGATTATTGCATAAATTTTGTGCTAAGTTTGGTGTGCACCGTGAGACACGCTAAATTTGCATTAAAAAACTGTAACCTATGGTTGAAAAATTATTGCACCCAAACGTGCTGAGATATTGCGTAAAAATACCGCACCAATATCTCGTCAATACCCACATTACATGAGGCGTTAAAATCATGCAATTTATACGCAATGAATGGTGGGTGCGAAGAGACAGGCAACGCGCGAGAGTTTGAATCTAAGAGAAGCGTGGTATTTCCTTTTCTCTCCCACCCTCGCAGTCTCGTAAATTCCCTGTTAATTTAATTCCCTGTTAATTTATCTGTTGTCTCAATGTCGCCAAAAAATATTACATAATTGCATTCCCCCCTGATAAATACAATTCAGTGCCATAAATACAAGTCACTGGGTTATCCCCGCAGAGAAAGTTTGTCTCTGGCCACCAAACTCTGGGCCAAGTATTAGAAATTTGATAAAAAAGGGCACTGCTATTCCTGATGTCAAGTGGGGAAGAGTTAGCTACGCCAGGATTATTGGGAATTACGGTAAATAGCTATTTAATTCAAATTATGAGAAGTCATTCCAATTATTTTACATTTACTAACAAATATCATTATTTTAGATGATTATGAAGTTGCGACAAAAAAACTTCAAGTAGCCGAGGACACTTCCAACTTGGAAAGTGAAACAGAACCAGAAAGCAGATTAAGGAGCAAGAAGATAATTCCCGATATTCAGCCCAGCAGCACACGAGGGGATGTAACGTCTTCATCCGATGAGGAGGATAGCCACGCGAACAAAAACAGTCCTCCGTCTGGCTCACTTCTGGATAATTTGGAGCTGGGTAGGCTTATAATACTGCCACAAATATTTTATACTAATCATTATGGTGATGCTTTTTAGACCAACCATTGAGCATTCCTGAAATAATTCCCGAAACTGAAGAGCAAAGCAATCTACAAGTAGGAAATCAAGTTGAAACTGGAGACACCTCTTCGCAGGAGTTAAATGATTTACGGCTGTTGATTTCAAGTTAGTACAAGCAAAATAATTTTATTAAAATTGATGTATTATGTTAACGCTTTGTAATCACGTTGCAGGGACAACGCAAAGTGTGCTAACTTTGTTGGAAAAGCAGGCTGAAGACATTAAAGACATTAAGGCTTTACTGATTAATGTGAAACAAAGGCCGGATGGTAGGAAGGCTCCCAATTTCAGTGCCATTCCAAAATTACCCCTCGACAACGAGGTAGCACTGGCGGAGTTTGAATCTTGGCTCGAGGTGGATTCAAATCGCGAATTACTGGTACGATTTAATCGAGATATTTTACATGCATAATTAAACCTTAATGTTTTTTAGGTTGAATATTTGGCATTTTCAACTGCGACACAGATCGAGGCGAGCACTAGAAAAATCTTGAAAAAATTATTTACGAATGAATTTGGCAGGCGAATTAATTTTACGGGTAAAGGAAACAAGACATCGATGAAAAACCTAAAACTATTGGAAGTCGTAAAAGGTGCTAAAATATATTCTAAAATGAAGAAAATTTTCTAATTGTTGGTCTCTATTTAATGTTTAATTGGATTGCAAATTTCAGAAACCGTGCGAAACGTCTTTACGGTTGAGTCCGTTCCCGATCCCAAAAATCCCAGCGGCCGTATTCCCACCGATGATATAATTCAAACTGCAGCAATGAATTGGTTTCGTTCTTCAAAAAGTAGGTGCAACGACGACGCTCCCTCGGGAATTGCATCATAATCATGGATCGAGATGGAAAATCACCGAGAAACATTAGGCGAATAATTGCAAAACGGGTTAGAGAGAATCTCACTCGTGCAAAAAACATACCTGCTATTAGTAATAATCTTGTAAATTTAGATATATGTGATTCAGTCGTTGAGGATAGCGATTCAGGTAGTAATATTAGCAATAATGATAGAAGCAGTAATGTTATCCATAATAGTGACGAGCCATTAGTTTCCGATTCACTAAGCGACAATGGTGTAGTAGAAAATAATTTAGATTTAACACGGGACTTGAGGGACTGGTCGCTTCGACATAACATAACGGGAGTAGCTTTAAACGATCTTCTACGCATATTTAACTTTTATCAAGAATTTAGATTTCTTCCATTGGATAGTAGGACATTGCTTAAAAACTCAATTAAATACTCTATGAAAACTATCGGTCAGGGTCAATATGCACATTTTGATGTTATTCAAAATATAAAACGGCAAATAGATTCCAATTGTATTCTTGCTTCTGGTAGCGAAATTAAATTAAACCTTATATTTAGTTTTGATGGATTGCCCATTTCTAAGAGTAACAGTAACCAGTTTTGGCCAATTCAAGCAAAGTGTGAAGAAAGTACGTACGGCGTATTTGTCGTGGGTTTATTTGATGGCAAGACAAAACCAGAAAGTATTGACGAATACTTGATGGATTTGATAGCAGAGTTAAAAAGTTTGCGATTTGGGATTAGTTACAATAATTTGAAAATATTTTGTAAGGTTTCAAAAATAATAGCTGATGCGCCAGCCAGGAGTTTTTTAAAGCAATGTAAAAGTCATAATGCATACAATGGATGCGAGAAATGTATAGATCCAGGTTTCTGGAAGGGACGTGTAATTTTCAGAACATTTCAGTCCACTTAGGACAGATCAAGATTTTTATGTTCAAAAAGATAAACACCACCATGTAGGCATTTCCCCGTTTACGGAGCTTAAAATTTTGATGATTTCTTCGGTTCCTCTTGACTACATGCACCTCATTTGCTTAGGTGTGGTTAGAAAACTATTAAGAAGTTGGGTAAAAGGTCCATTGCCATTTAAATTATCTTCTCGTGATATTTC